GGGGGGGGGGGGGGGGGGGCTACAGGGGTGGATTCTGTGAGAGGCTGCTAGAAGCTTACCCCATGTTCAATGCCAGCTGACTCCAAGACAGACCAATCAAGGTTGTTTCTCTTGGCCAAGGCTGAACTCATCAGTGATGGTGGTAGTGCCTCTGTGATAATGTATTTAAGAAGGGGAAAAAAAACCCTGTGCAACAGCAGCCAGAAGAGAAGAATAAGAAAACATGAGAGAAACCACTCTGCAGAGACCAAGGTCAGTGAAGAAGGAGGGGAGAAAGTGCTCCGGGTGCTGAAGCAGAGATTCCCCTGCAACCCGTGGGGAAGACTGTGGTGAGGCAGCACGGGAAGACTGTGGTGAGGCAGCTGTGCCCCTGCAGCCCATGGAGGCCCATGGCGGAGCAGAGCCACCTGCAGCCTGGGGAGGATCCCACACCAGAGCAGGTGGATGCACCTGAAGAAGGCTGTGACACCGTGGGAAGCCCACACTGGAGCCGGATTCTGGCAGGACCTGTGGCCCTGCAGAGGTAGGAGCCCATGGTGGAGCAGGTTTACTGACAAGACTTGTGACTCCATGGGGGACCAACACTGGAGCAGCCTGTTCCTGAGGGACTGTGCCCTGTGGAAAGGACCCATGCTAGAACAATTCATGAAGAACTAGAGCCCATGGGAAGGACGCATGTCGGAGAAGTTCATGGAAGACTGTGTCTCATGGGATGGGACCCCATGCTGGAGCAGGGAAAGAGTATGAGGCATCCTTCCTCTGAGGAGGACAGAGTAGCAGAGGCAACATGTGATGAACTGTCAGCAACTTCCATTCCCTGTCCCCCTGTGCCACTGAGGGGAAGGAGGTAGAGAAAATTAGGAGTAAGTTAAGCTGGTAAGTTAAGTTAAGGGAGGGGTGGTGGGAAGATGTTTTAAGATGTGGGTTTTATTTCTCATTATCCTACTCTGATTTGATTTGCAATAAATTAAATCAATCTTCCCCCAATCGAGTCTATTTTGCCCATAATGGTAACTGCTGAATGATGTCCCCCTGTCCTTATCTCGACCACATGCCTTTCATTTTATTTCCTCTCTCCTGTCCAGTTGAGGAGGGGAGTGATAGAGCAACTATGGTGGGCACCTGGTGTCCACCACAAGTGCTAGCAAGCATTTGATTAAATCAAATATTTCTTTTCAGGTCTGTGTTGCAGATTCATTGTTGCTGGCAATCGTGTTGCTGGAAATGTGATCCTGGGTACAGATAGTTCAAGATCCAAGCTAGCCAGTTAAGGCCCAGTGGGTGAAGTGCATGGTTCCCTTTTTGTGTTGAGGGAGACACAGAGACTCTGAACCTATACACTGAATTTCTAGCACTACCACAAGGACAGAAGGAGAATAGTCACCTGAAAGCATGATGGTACTTGCTAGCAATTCCCTCCTACTCTTGCTGGTTTTTTGCTACATTTAGGATGTAATGTCCCACGTACATCATCTTTTGATTAAGCCATCAGCAAACCAGGTGGGCAATCTCTTTGATCAGCTGTTGGTAGAGCAATGTCACATATCCTCTGCTAAAAAAAAATTGCTTTCCATGTAATCCTGCAATAGTCCTAAAAAAGAAAAGAAACACACTACACTACACACTACTTCTATGGGAGGAAGGCTACTGGCTCAAGCTACACAAGAGGCATTTTTAGAAGTTTATGCATGGTTGTCTTTATTAGCCAGCTTACAATAGCAGGAATGGGAAGAGCCTGTTCAAAAGGCTCATATTAAATAGAGTTTGGTGGGGAGCAGCAAGGAAAGAAAGTGCCAGTAGTGACTTAGAAATGTGGGGAGGTGTGAGTTATGTTCTGCTTGACAGTGAGAGTTAATGTGTCTGATTAATTTCCCTTGAAAAAATTTATTTCTTTATTTCAGACTCTAAACTTATTTGAAAGCTATAACCAGGATGCTGGATAAAAATTGTGGACCAAACCCATGCAGTTTCTTTAGGACAGGTTTGCATACAATATTTGAGTATATATCTCACATAATCAGGATTAGCAATGTTCTTTAAGAACACTGTAAACTGAGGTTGACATGCAGTCTCCTAAATCTGTGTGGATGAGGCTGAAGAAGAACACCTAACAATGTGAAACCCATGATAAAAGTCACAAGTAGTAGTAATACTGGAATTTATAGTTTTTCAGAGGGTCAAGTTAATAAACTGAGTTTTCCAGAAAACTAGCATCTTTTACAGTAAACTCAAATAAATGCCCACCGAAAAGAGCTGTACTGGCAGCTGTCTAAATTTATGAATCTGGATTTTCCAGAACAGATTATCCAATAATTAATGGAAGATTGAGAAGTTATTGTTTTATCAGAATAGACTGGTTCATTTCCATTTGCTCAAGTTTTATTTGGAGGGTATGTCAGAAATTACTGCTGTTCCTGTATTTCAGTTCTTTGTGCTTTTTTTCAAGTCTTGAGCATCAACAATGTCATAGGATAGGAATATATATCTCGTAATCTTCTGAAAAAAAATCTGCAAAGAATTTTTTTATTTTGGAGTCCATTAAGGGTCTGAAGATTAAAAAACATAACAGACTCCTCTTCAATAAGATCTTCTAGAGGTCTTCACGATCCATTAATGTTGCTTTCCCGACAGATTGTAAATCAGCCAATGTATAAGAAGGGTCAGAAGGATGATCTGGGAAATTCCAGGCCTGTCAGCTTGACTTCAGTGCCAGGAAGCTGATGGAGCAGCTCATCCTGAGTAACGTCACATGACACATGCAGGACAACCAGATGCTCAGGCCCAGTCAGGAGGGGTTTATGAAAGGCAGGTCCTGCCTGACAAACCTGATCTCCTTCTATGACAGGGCAACCTGCTTATTGGATGAGGGAAAGGCTGCGGATGTTGTTTACCTTGACTTTAGTAAGGCCTTTGACACCATTTCCCACAGAATTCTCCTGGCGAAACTGGCTGCTTGAGGCTTGGATGGGCACACGCTTTGCTGGGTAAAAAACTGTCTGGATGGCCGGGCCCAGAGAGTTGTGGTGAATGGAGTTAAATCCAGTTGGTGGCCGGTCACGAGTGGTGTCCCCCAGGGCTGGGTTTTGGGGCCACTCCTGTTTAACATCTTTACTGATGATCTAGACAAGGGGATCGAGTGCACCCTCAGTCAGTTTGCAGATGACCCCAAGTTGGGTGGGAGTGTTGATCTGCTTGAGGGTAGGGAGGCTCTGCAGGGAGACCTGGACAGGCTGGAGCCATGGGCTGAGCCCAACTGGAGGAGTTTCCATAAGGCCAAATGCCGGGGGCTGCCCTTGGGCCACAACAACCCCCAGCAGCGCTACAGGCTTGGGGAGGAGTGGCTGGAGAGCTGCCAGTCAGAGAGGGACCTGGGGGTGCTGATTGACAGCCGGCTGAACAGGAGCCAGCAGTGTGCCCAGGCGGCCAAGAAGGCCAATGGCATCCTGGCTTGTGTCAGCAATAGCGTGGCCAGCAGGGACAGGGAAGGGATCTGACCCCTGTACTCGGCACTGGGGAGGCCGCCCCTCGATTCCTGTGTTCACTTTTGGGCCCCTCACTCCAAAAAGGACATTGAATGACTCAAGCGTGTCCAGAGAAGGGCAAGGAAGCTGGTGCAGGGTCTGGAGCACAGGTCGTACGGGGAGTGGCTGAGGGAACTGGGGGTGTTTAGTCTGGAGAAGAGGAGGCTGAGGGGAGACCTCATCGCCCTCTACAGCTCCCTGAAAGGAGGTTGCAGAGAGCTGGGGATGAGTCTCTTTAGCCTAGTAGAAAGCGACAGGACAAGAAGGAATGGCCTCAAGTTGCACCAGGGAAGTTTTAGACTGGATATTAGGAAGCATTTCTTTCCAGAAGGGGTTGTTGGGTGTTGGAATGGGCTGTCCAGGGCAGTGGTGGAGTCCCCATCCAGAGGTGTTTAAGAGTCGGGTTGACATAGCGCTGAGGGATATGGTGTACTTGAGAATGGTCAGTGTGAGGTTGATGGTTGGACTGGATGATCTTCAAGGTATTTTCCAACCTAGAAGATTCTGTGGTTCTATGATTCTGTTTTCATGGGGAGTAGTCAGATTGTGATCTGATTTTACCCATATTTGATTTGCAGTACAGCAATGTTGTTCCTGGTTGGTAACTCCAGGATCAATTTTCAGAATTGTTAACAACAAAGATTGAGAAGAATCGATATCAGAAACTTTCTTCAGAGTGGTACATTTCCATTTCTGTGAGTTACCTCTAAACAGGGACCAACATCCTGGATCAAGATGTGGCCTGGATGCCTCTGTGGGCAGGAAGGTGACTGGGGCACACAGTGGCTAGTCCTTGATTTGAGTGCTTCAGTGACCAAGATGGTGAGGTGTGCTACACGTAAGAAGCTCAGTTCATGTGCAACAATAGCTACCAGAAGAAACGTGCAGAGATTTCTGTGAACAGAATTGTCTATCTTCATGCAATAAAACCACTTCTTTGGTATCAAAAAGATCACAAATACTATTAGGAATGGATGGCTATTCTAAATATCATTTATAGTTCACAACTTCTGTAAGTGGCAGTCAAATACTCTGAATCTGATTTTCTTCTTGCCTACAGTACTTTAATTCTAGAGCTTCATCAGCTTCAGGGCAGAAATGAAATCAGGAAAATCAGGCTCAGAAATGTTCTCCTCTTCTGATCTGTAATGGGAGAAGAAATCTGCAGCAAGAGGTGTCCTGCATTTACTGCAGTTTAATTTATGAGTAATTCCAAGCAAGTTAGAGGAATTGGGCTGGTAGGAGATGGAAAATAAAGGTTAGAGGTGTTCATGCTTGTTGTGAAAAAAGAAATGTTTTATTAACTTTCTACCAAGGAACACAGCTCTTATTTATGGTCTATTCACCCCCTGTTAAGGCTTAATCCAAGTGCACTGAAAAGCAGGTCGATGCAGTATTTGACAACATCCTTTCCTGTAACTCAGGCTGTAGTTTCCTCCAGGGAAGGTCTCCTGTGAATGATTTACACTGGGGAAAGAGATAAAAGGAGAAATCAGACACATGCCTTTTCTCTTAAGGGACTCTCTCTCCCTCCAGCCCCCTGTACGTATATCTAGTATATGTATACACACACACACACACATATGCACATGAACACAGACACATGTGCACACACGCACACACCTTCTTCAAAGCAACTTTACATTTGTTAAAATTTTCATGAGAAATTAAACAGAGAGAAGACTTCCCAGACACTAGCCATCTATCATGACGAGATGTTCTCCCTTTTTATCAGAGTAATGCCTGGTTTTCTGCATAAAAGTCTCATGCCTTGGGTATATCTTCCCAGATCACCAAAATGATTGAGGGTTTCACTTCACTATTCAAGGTTTTTTCCATCTTTGAAGCATTTTGTCAACATTGGTTCTGGTGCAAACAGAGCAAGTTCTTGCCTTTGTAACAATCTGGTAGAGTTCAAACTATTGTGATGAAGAAAAGACGGAGTGATGAAGAATTATGAAAGAAAGAATGTACCCAATATCACAGATGATTTTTACTGTGCACAAAAGGTTTTGACACTAGTTATGATAAACTCATTTGGAACACCAGGCTGCAAAATCAGAAATTCCTTGTAGTGATATGCAAGCACTGATGTTCAGGTAGAAGCTGGTTATCTTGATACAATTTATCTCAAAATATTTTTCTACTTCAAATGTGTGTAAAATTTTCTATATAAAAAGGCACAATTACTATCATCCTCAGACAGATTCATAGACAGCAGAAGGAAAAGTTCCTTGCTTTTTTCAGCTAGACTTATCACCAGATACTATGTTAGCATTATGTTAGTTCGAATATTTTGTTAATATTTGAGATGAGCCTGAGCTAGACCACTGAGTCTTTACATGATAATCTATCTTTACTCTTTTGGGAAGCTCAGGTTTGGACAAAAATGTTTTGAGTTCATTGTTGATTCTGTTTGTGTTTGGCATGTAACATAGAAATGCCCAAGAAAAGGAAAACAATTCAGCAGCACTAAAATATTTGTTTCTTTAAAAGAAGCAAGTTCATGAAAGCAGGTACCTAAGAAAAAAAGTCAACTACAAACAATAAAAATAGGCTTTTAGAGAGTATGTGAACTCCCTAAATGATGCTGACAGAAGGATAAAGAGTTCCTCAATACCTGGTGAAGAATTGCTGGCAGCATTCAACTAGCTCTGTGCTGTTGTCAGGGAAATCTGTGGAGTTGAATGCATTTCCTAGTAAGACATGGCAGGGAGCATCCAGACCAGGGACAGTCAGCATTCCTGTGAAGTAAGCAACAATTTTCTTAATGAGTAATGAAGAGGAAAATAAGACTTGGGGAGGTCAGTCACTGGGGCATGGTTGGATGAAATGTTCTGGCTGATACAAGATCACCCTCTGAGATGCTTCCGTAAAGATGCAGGATTAAAACCTAAAACCGTGGGATTTTTAAGAAAATCTGAATGATTTTACAGAACTGGATTAAGGAGTGACTTTTTTTTCTTTTTTTTTTTTTTCCAATATATGTACAAATTAGAGTATGGTAACATGCACACTTAGACTATTTTATTTTTCTGCCCCTTTAATGCTACTAAGAAGGTATGCTAATGGATTTCTAGATGATGGGTCAGTGTGCTTTTATTAACTAAAATGGAACTATGCTACATTCATAGCAGTGCAACTAAATACAGGACCTCTTCTTTCATTTTAAATTGCGACAGTTATGGTTTATTAAACTTTGCTTTGCTAGATTATACTAGCAAGTTATCTAGCTAGTTAATTCTCCAATATTTCCTATAAATAGTAATGTCAGCATTCATTGCAGTAATGGAGACACAAAAGTATGAAAATGATAGCTCCCTCTTGTACATAGTGTTGTGGAACCTGGACACATTTTTAATATGTTCTTATCTTAACTGCTCTAGTAAAAATTTCTTGGCTCTTTTATCTTCTTCTGGGCATAAGAACAGCATTTGTCATGGCAGGAGTGGGTACAATGTATTTTTCTTTCCAAGATCTTATTGTTTTGGAAAGTTTTTGCAGTGATTGCTCACAATTTTATTCTTAAGGCCAGGACTTTGAAATTACACATTTTAGTAAGACTTCCTGATTCCTCAGTTTTACGAAGTAGTGTCATGTATTAACATATTATGGAGGGCTGTGAGACTAATGACATTTCACATGTACTAGTTCTATAACCTTCAGAAAAATACTGTGTGCTTATCCTTAAAATGTGTATGTTTCTGTTGCTGTGGTGAACACAAAGGGATAGGGAAGCTGTGATAGAAACAGACATGCTGATTTCAGCTATATAAAGCACCAAGATCTTTTCTGCACTGTAGGAATACTGCACTGTAGGAGTGCTTTAATCTTCATCATGCAATTCTGCATATCACATGCTCAGAAAAGAAAGCTGGGAAAGGGATTGTTAAACACTGGGCATAAATTTCACCTGCTGAATCATATCTGGTCAATTAATTAATCTTTTGAGTCATTATGCTTTTTTAATTTTCCTTCCTAAAATGGCTGTTATATTGTGACTCTTTACTCAGCTTGAAGGTGAGTCTTTGAAAATAAGGATCTGCTGTTGAGTCTCACCTCAAAACAGTTTCATTAACTTAAATGCTCTGTGGGAATACTATCAGCCTAAAATATCATTTTTTAACGTTAAGGCAAAAAGTTGTTCAGCTTCCCTCTCTCTCCTTCTCTGTTACACCCTCCTTTAATTCCACTTCTCCATTTCTGCTCCATAGTTACTTAAGTATTTCTGCAGCCAGAAGTGCGGAGGAGGGATTGTAACTCATCTGTAAAAAAAAAAAAAAAAAAAAAAAAAAAAAAAAAAAAAAAAAAAAAAAAAAAGTAAGGCATAATAGAAGAAATAAAATAAATCTTCTCATATTTCAGTTTTCAGGAACCTTTCGTCGCATATTGATGTCGAACCCTGCCAAACTCGTTTAATAGTAGCTTTTGAGTGTCATGGGTCGCCCAGCCGTGTCTCTCGCACGGACGCACTGCCACCCTGTGGTCACTGCCTGTAAAAGACACCAAAATTGTCTACGGTACCTGCAACACAGGCTGTCATGAAACAGGCGACAGTTCCCGCAATCATTGCTCTGAAAGCACCACCAGCTATTTCCTTTTTTTTTGAGGGAGCAATGCTTGCTAGGAAGAAAATTAAAGAGCATGTCAAACAAAAATACATATAGATTTAAAGAAGATGAACCTGCCAGCTCTCTCACCGCAAGAGGAAATTCCCACTCTGCAGTTTGAACCAGGAGAAACAAGGAGGGAAAATGTGACATTTTTAGCAGGCCATTTGAAGGCCTAGTGCCAATGTTGGCTCTTTCTGGTGAGAAGGTGGCTTGTCTATAAAATGGTGACTTCTGTCTGCTTTGGCAGTTTGCACATCTGTGCTGGCTGGTGATGGCTTTCAGAAACCAACCCTGGGCATGGCACTGGGGTCTGGCCCCATGGCTGGGTCCTGCTCCTCCAAGCTGCCCCACTGCTGGCACCACAGGGTCCACCTGGGCTTCAGGGTAAAGGTGGCTGTCAGAAATTTTGGCTGTCCGGTGGGGAACTGAGACTTTTTTTCAATTTTTCTTTTTCCCTAGAGATCTGAAAAGCCTTTTTTTTTTTTCCCCTTTCCCTCTAAGCCTACTGCATATATGTGACATTTTAATAGGAAACAGCCAACTTTGTCTTTCAAACCAGCAGGCTACAGAGATGGGTTTGCTCCTGCTGAAGCCTAGGGGCTCCAGCAGCTCAGGCTCACAGTGTGAGGACTGGACAGGAAGGCCTATCAGCAGGGATTGGTCCCCTCCCCTTCCCTCAGCCCTTCTCCCAGTACCCCCATGCCAAAACCTGCGCCCCTCTTGAAGCCCTTCCATGCACAGTTGGGAGCTGCTCAGCCCCTAATGCTGCTAAGCTTCACCCAGAGCCTGTTCCTTTGCATGTTTTCTTTGGCATTTGCTTGCCAAATAAATTGTCTGTGAGAAGTGTTCTTACTCAGGCCTCCTATTACCAGTCCCAAGGAACCGAAGTTGGCAAATCCACAAAGAGCATATGTGGCAATGACTTCAGAACGAACCTGGAAAACAAACACATACCCTGTTGAATGGTTTGAGACAGTTCGTGCTGCTTTAGTGGTGTGAAAACATGGCACTGTGGCTCCGGGCTCTGAGCACTGAAATGACTCCATTTTGCTTGGTTACTGCCCCACTAAGTGGCTTTCAGTAAGACAAGCTCATTCTCACGCTGAATGGTCCAGGCTTTCATATCCACTGCTTGTGTGAGGACTTTTAAATCATGTGATGGTTTTATTTTTCACATATATGGCTGTGCTTGGTTGAATTGAGTACTAGTAATTAAAGACGAAAAATAATTTCAGTCTTACCAGTGGCAATTTAACTGCTGTTTTCTGAAGGTGTCAGTCAGAGAGCTTTAACTCAGCTTGTTGTTCATAGCTAGACTGCCTCTGTAACACTCTGTTGAAACCTCAAGTTTTGGCATGCATCCCTGACTTCTTTGTCCCTGAGCAAGCAGAGGGCTCCATGTGAAAAGCTATTGTCTGTGTGCTCCACTGTGTGTACAGTGAAAAAGGGAAATGAGTCTCCTAGAGAGTGGGTGCTTTGATGTGGTAACAGGTAGAGGGGCATTATGATTTTGGAACCCCTATTAGCGCCATATTTCCTTCCTGACTTCAGCCACTTTCCTCCCCTTGGGCAACACCAGCACAGTCTGGACCTCAGTGCAGAGACAAGGTTGGGTTGGCCTTTGCCTCAGTAGAGGCACCCTCACAGGACACAAAATGACTTTGGGTGAAATCAGGCTACAAAACTGGCAAACATTCAGACAAATTTGGGAAGGTGGTAACATATTTCATCAAATGGATTTTTGTCCCCCTGGTGGCTCTGAACTTCTATTTACTGTGTTATAGGTCCAAGCTGAAGATGCCTGAGTGAGTGTTCTAGTTAGTAGGTTTCCTGTTTATTAGAAGTTTCTATATTTCCAGTCCTGTTTCATAAAAAACAGTTTGTAGATATTTTCAATTGCTCTGCACACTAGCAGGAAAATGCTTTTCAAGTACCCACTCTAACTGCTTTTCCTGGAAGAGGCTTTGTGTACTGTGATTTCCTTGCTTTTATTTGAACTTTCCTAGCACTGAAAACATGAAGCCTTACTATTAATGACTTGGGTGAGGAAGTTCAGAAGACTGCTTTGTTTGCTCATTCTGACTGAATATCTGTGTATTGAGAGTTCTGAAGCCAGAGAGTAATTAAAAGTGGAAGTCAAGCCCACTCTCTCCTGAACTGTTGTGCTGTAATTAAAATGGTTACTGGGCAATTTTTACTAGTGTTATGAATCAAAATTATTTTTATATCTCAGAGGGTTTTTTTTACCATGGAAGCTAATACAGCTTTTTATAGGTATTAGAAGTGAACACAGAAGTTCTCTATGACATCTTAGTAGAATAAAACAGAAAAAAAAAGGTGAAATACAGTTCTGCATTTTAAGGCTGACTTCTGGATTAAAAAATCTCCTATTCACTCATACAGGATTTCAGAGCCATATTCCTCTAGCAGAATACAGCATGACTATAGCAGGGCAGATCAGAGGTCCATCTAGCCCAGGATCCTATTTCTAGTACTTCCAAAAACACTAGTAAAGGATGGTCAGGCAAGCATGTGAGTATTTGATCAGACCACCTGGCTTTCTACCTCCACTTGTGAAATCTGGTAATAAGAAAAGGAAGTGTTCCAAGAACATGATTTTGGTTTTGTATATAAGGCACGTATCCACAGCATCACACCAGATTAAATGAATATTAAAATCCGTACAAAATTATGCTTCCTAGTTAAAGGTCCTCTACAGCGACAATTTGTCTTGATTTGAGGAAGAAAGGCCACCGCAGGAGTAAAGCTGGATATCATGGGTTTTGTTGCCTGTGCTTAGAATGAGGACAAATTCAGCACAGGCTGTGCATGTGGATGCCAGATGGGGGAGAAGTCATGGCTGCAAAGGTCAGCCTTCATAACTGCATGCTGTTTGCAGACACCTAGGATGCCCTCTGTATTGCCATTCTCTAAGTTTCTTCCTCAGTGCATTGTACTAGGAATTATGTACCCTGTTGGGTGAATCTGGGTGGACATATGAAAGAGAGGTGGGCCCAGGCTTTGGCTGGAAATCCTCATTGGCAATTAAAACATGCTGGTTGGACTCAGTACTGCAAGGGACATGTATGCCATTTAATATGTCTGGTATTACTGCTCTCTGCACAGGGATCAATAATGGCAGAAGTGTGCCAGTAATATGTTTAAATGCCACCAGGCAAAGCTTTCTGAATGCTTCTCTTGAAGCTTAAGGCTTGGCTAAACCTCTGTGGGCACGAGAATCCTCCAGTTCTGGCCCAGGATTTTCTTGGGAGAGTATCTCATAAGGAAGTGCTAGCTAAGAATGCGGTAAGAAAAAATGACCTTGAAGACAGCATTCATCTTAAGTGCAGTGTCCTGTGGGACACTGCATCGCCCCCAAAACTATGTCTTCCTTTTGCTATGTTTGAGATAGCTAGTGTGGTGACAGTCATGGCAGCTTCACAAAGCAATGCTGTGTTTTTATAACTTAACTCTGTCACTGAAACATTTTAGAGTAATATGCAATCATTATCCCTTTATGTCCACATTAAAAAATGAGTTGAGTTTCAGCAGTTAACTACTAGATCCAATAAATCTGTAGAATAGGAAATGTTACTTACAGTCATATACTGTTTCACACCATTAATGTACATGCTCCCACCCTTTTCTCGGATGTGAATCAGTTTTGAGAGGCGCTCATAAGCCACAAATTCATTGAAGAAAGTTTTGTAACCCAGTAGTCCACCAACAATAAAACTGTCTTCCCAGTCTACTCCCATCATGAAAGAGAATGGCATGAAAACATAAGCACAAATGTTCTGCAAAACATATAAGACAAAGCTGATCAAAAGATATGGCTGGTCAAAGAACAATGGCATGCTCTAATAGTTTTATTTCAGCAGAGGAAAACTAACCTTGAATTCTACTGCCAAAGTGTGGGAGACTGAGGTTTTTAATAGTAAGGTATATTTGAGTAATTTTTAAAAGACTAACCCAAATCTAGATATAACAAAGCAATTAGGTATGTCCCTAATTTTACCTAAAGTAAAATAGAAGTTTCTGTGCCCTTTTTCCCCAACAATGGCTTCAGACTGGGCACAGTGTTTGAAACAGAAGAGGGCTGAGTTAAAAAGAGCTGATAGGACAATTGAGAAGTCTAGTTCTTCCGTTGATTAAATCAAGTGTGTTAATGAACATCCTTAATTACCAGGTTGTTGGACTCTAACTGGTGTAAACAAAAGACTTGTCTCTGCATAGGAGCTATGCATCTGACATAAATAAAGCTGTACCTTTTTTCCTAGCATTAAAACTTTTAATTTAAAAAAAAAAAAATCTCTATTGCAGTATAGTTTATTTTTATATAAGAGAGAAAATAGGTCCAGCTCTGAAAAGGTTTGGTCAGATTGTCCTTAGTGAATGTAACTAAGGTGTTTAAGCAGTTACTGTTCCTGGTTGGTTCCTCTGCCCACAAAAGGTTAGAGCCTCTCGAACGGGATGGCTGGCTGAATGCAACCTGCCTGTGGGTCTCAGCTCCTTGTGGATTATCTGTCCAAATCTAACTCTATCCAGCAGTTATTAAAATACCAGCCCTTGCGTGAGTGTGGCTGAGGTATCCATACATGTGCCTTTCCGCTGCTGTGGTGTCTGTGTGGTGCTTGCAAGCATCAGCTAGCAGGCATTGGGATAATCTGTGGAAGCTCTGCAGGGTAACATCTTAATATTTCTGCCACATCTGCTATGAGTGTCCATTCACTTCTGCAGCAACTTTATCACAATGTTATATCACTATTTCACACAAGACTCTTATTAGGAGCTTGCAAAACAAAAAGCCCAAAACCACTGAACCAAGACTGTTGCTTTGGATCAAAAATTATATATTGACCTAGATTAAAAAAGAAGTCCTATTTAAAATCTGTTTGCTCAGCTGAGTGATTTGGGTGCAGTGTGTTGCCTTGACTCAGTGTCCTTATCTAAGTGAAGCTAGTGAGCATTAAAGGCTTGATGGGGCTCTCCAAAGCTAAAGCTACTTTAATGTTTAGCTGAAAGAGATGTTAGTGGCATGGCAAGCATGACAGATCTGCACTGTCAAGTCAGAGAAGGCAGGTATTAGCATAAAATGCTCCGTAAACATACTCTGCTGGTTAGCAAGAACACCACAGAGGGAAGCTATACACAGGTGAGTGGATACAAAGTATTTACATGGCAATAGTTTTCCTTTGCCTGTTTTCAAGAACATACACATAGAAATATATGGGTTTAGATCATATTAAGAAAAAATAAAACAAAAAAACCCCCCAAAAAACCCCAACAACCACAGCAAAAGCACACAGCCTCTTAATCTGAGAAAGACAAATCATACATGTATATAAGCTGCATGAAGGACCTGGAGACATACCTCAAAGTTCAGCTGTGGATAGTCAAACAGATTGCCCACCCAAGAAAGGGCTGAGTCAACGAAAGCCAGCAGGGCAAGGAAGGAGATCAGATTCACAGCAATGTTTGCTACCAGCAGGATGGAGGTAGAGGCACCTTGACTGGCTGCTTCCAGCAGGTTCTTTGATTCACTTTATCAATTAGAAGAAAACCAGAGTGTGAGCATTTCTTAATTCAATAATGCATCATATAACTAAAAGTTATATGGACTTCATTAGAAATCTACTACTGAATTTGTCTGTTCACACATAGGGAAAATAATGATGAGATGGAGTAGGTTTTTGCTCTCCACCCTCATGGGAGTCACTGGGAGGGTATGCTTTTGATGCCCTAAGGAAAATTCTGTCACATTCAGGGTTGGGCAAGATCTGGATCAGGTCTCAGTACTGTGTCTGCCTGTGGCACCACGGGGACAAGGGGATGGGCACTACTCTTCTTCTAGGCAGCCCTTGCAGAGATGCCTGGGCTATTCATGACCAGCTCCTTACAGGCCTTTTTGTTTTGAGTGTAGTTCTCAGGGCAAGTGAGACCTTGCAGATGGGCAACAAATTTGCTGCTGTCATGGTTGAAATGATTGCTCCACTTTTGCTTCTGCATGTTTGCATTAACTGATTTGTTACAAAGGAAAGACAACAACAGAGCAAATGGGAAAATCTCTTGGTGGCTCACCTCAGGTAGGCATTTCTCTCTTTTTTTGAGGGTTTACTGTCCAGCCCAGGTCCTTGACATCTCTGTACCTGTCCCAACGGGTAGTGCTATCTTCATATATTGTAACGGGGCATGCCTCACCTGAATCCACAAACTACTCATTGGGGGTATATTTATGTGCAATTGAATTATTGCTTGCACATCTACCATGTACTACCCCTGTCCTTATGTGTGAGAAGTTATTTTTCCAAATCTCACTTTTGCATGAGTATTACTATTAACTAAAAACTAGATCTAGCTTACCCTTTTGCTATTTGTAGACCAGTCCTCAGAGTTACTGTAGGCTTTTCAGTTTCAGGCCAGAAGAGTTTGGACATGGCTAATGATGCTGGTGCTGACATGACAGAAGCAGTCAGCAGGTGGGAGGCGGAAACCTAGAATTCCAGGTGATAGAAAATACACTGTGATAATCACATCATGCACAAAGATGGAGGAAAGCAATTAATTTGTTAGATGCTTACATGATTTTTCTACAGGACGTCATTAAAAAGTTCATGTTACTCATAAGGAAAAGAAGAGAAGGAGCAATACAGAAGAATGCCAGTTGGAGACAGAAAAAGTCTAAGTAGTGAAAAGTACAGAATAATCTTTCTAAGAGGCAAACTGCTTCACTCCTCTCTAATGGCAAGCCAGAAGGCAAAAGAAACAAAAGAAGCCAGGTCCATTGAGGGCAGCTGGGTGTAACAATAATGGATCAGCTGAGTGAGAGATAGCCTTCCTTAACACCTCCCTGTATGCCTTGCAATGGCAGAAAAACATTTTTACCCCCTGAAGTTGTGTTTTTTTTAAAAAAAATACATAAATTATAACATAACATAACTTCATCTATTCCCCTTTCTCCTATTCTTCCACAAATTTTGACACAAAACAACTTCTTTGCTAACTTTTGCAGTATTTCTCTCTTTCCTTCTCTTAGTCTCTCGCTCTTTTTGGCCAACACTCCATTCTTGCCTCTGCCTCTCCACTGTATTTTATTCAAATACAGAACTAATAAATTTACCAATTATTCCCCGGTGACTCTGATCATAAATCACAACTTCAATCTTGTTTTTCTGGCTTTGTGCTGTCAACCCTTCAGCAGATGAGATGTTTAATTACTACCTGTGTTTGTACAGCATCACTAGAATCTCAGTCACACGTCAACTCTTCAGACACACATGGCGAGCAATCATTCCTGAAGGACTTTATCTATATCACTGCTACAGAAGTGGGAGGGTTGATCAGTTATTATAGTCCATATCAGTTCATCTGGACTGTAGGAAAGTATACAAATCAGTCATTTCCTTGCAACTATGGCAGGAAGTCTCTCTTTTATTACTTAGGTAGATGTTTGTGCTACTTAATATCTTAGAGGTCAGATCTTGGTATCTTTTTTTTTACTGTCAGAAGACAGAGGATTTTTATGATTAATTCCTTCAGGAAAAAAAAATAATTAAAAAAAAAAAAAAATGGGAATGACTCAGGTATACTCCCAGAGCATTTTAGTTGGGTGTCTGTACTTACATGATTTCAGATAAACAGTATATTTTCCAGTTCTCTTTCCCCATCTTACCCCCAAAGAAATATATGCTCCTAAGACACTTCCAGCAATAGTTGAGAATCCTGCTGTCATGACTGCATGGAGTTCAGATTTGGTGATGTATGGTAAGTAGGGCCGTATCAGGAGAGGAGACTCTGTCTGGAAGTGAAAAAAACCTACAAATTAAGAACTTCCCAACAAACCCTCAGAGTTTTATTAACAGGACATAAAAATGAATGGCTACATCACACTTTCTTAGGTGTATTTGAGTAGTTAATCTTAGTGCTAATGAGTGTTCTGAATATTAATAAATTGGAGTTTTTTTACCCCAAGAAGAAAAATTATATCAACATCTATCTTGCCTGAAGATTATTCTTGCTGGTTTGTTGTTTCCTCCAAAGGGCCAGTGAAACTGCCAAGAAATCCTAATCCAATTCTGAAAGAGTTAGGGACAGCCACAGGCCTGAGCCACAGGTAAAGCTGTGCATCAGGTGAGACATGCGCACTAGCCACTATGGGCAGCTTAAAGCTCCCAGCCCCTCTGGCATGTGTGTGAGCACATCCTAGAGGCAGTGTCATGCAGAAGTACTAGTTTAAATCTTGAAGTAATGTGATACAGTGATGCACCACTGCTAAATAACTGAAATGCTAATGTTGCTTTTGAGCTTGGATGCTACTTGGTGATCTTACCACACTGCTTTGAAGCCTGGGACAGACACTGCTGTTGTGTGGGTTTAATGGATTTCCCATTAAACTGGACTATTAGACTCTGTCCCATGCTTTTGTGGCTAAGGACTTGCACAGACAGCCCTGGATCTTAGTTCTCTATATTGTGTGTCCTTCCTGCCCTTGCCTGTTTCACATATCCTCTTTTCATCCCTTTTGCCTTTTCAGCTGAAAACAACCTGCAACTTCTCTTTCTTCATAGCCTTGGAGTAGTCTGGTAGTCATTTTAAGGGAGATCTGTCACCTATGTATGTGCTTGACTTTCTGTTGGGAAAACATATGGTTCCCAAACCCCACTCCACTATGCATCACTGCCGACATATAAATGTACTGGAATCCTGGAAATCAACCACCAGTCCTGCTGTACTGGACTCATAGCTTCATAGGAAGGAATGATTTTTTCATACACAGATGTTCGTTGAGCAGTAGTATTTCACAGTATTTAGAAATTCTCTGCTATTACATTTTTCTGTTCCAACTCACCTGTCCCACAAATATGTTACCTGCAGCTACCAGAGACTCAACAGGAGTTGTCCCCATGAAAATTTGCATTATCCAGCCAACCTAAAATGATTGAAAATGAAAAAAAAAAACAAACAAAACACATTGGTCTGCCTATTCTATGCACTTCTTAAAATAATTGTATCACTGTAAGAGTCCTGAGACACCTTACAATATTTCCTGAATTAATGATTTCTGTTTCAAGATATAGCACATTCATTTAATAGTAGCATGCTAAATAAGCCAGAGGAGGAATAATTTAACAGAACTGAGAGAACCCTAAGCTCCTTCTGGGCACTAAATCGATAAACTAAGTTAATCAAAGTAGATATTTTGATGAGTCCTTATTACTTATGTACCTGTTCAAAGGGACTTGGACCATACGAAGGGGAAAAAAAATGTGAAATTTAGATTAAGGCTAAAAACGCCTTGTAGAAATTTTAGCACACAATTTCAGCTGAATGAGGTTTGTGGTGTTTATATGATCTTGTGAATAAGAAGGACAAAGGGCTTTTATTACAATCTTCAAATTAGGTTTAACTATCACAATGCAGAAAGATCTTTTCCCTCATATGATAAGTTCATTGGGCAGACAGGGAAGGAAATGGACTTTCTGTGGACTTGCTCTTATCTTAATGGACTCTGGCACTGGACATAGGACCTGACAGAAATGAATACTTGGAGCATGAGTTGAGGAACCAGACTCTGATCTTATTCTGGGGATCTGTGACAGGCTGGTATATGCAATTGCTACTTCAATGCGTAGCAGAAAGTAGAAATCCACTGTCTGTGGTGTAACCTCCATCCTGCACTTTGGGGGCTTGAAGAGGAGCAGGCAGAAAGGAAGATTTAAGCAAGTATGGCATCTGAGGAACACTAAAGCTAGCCAGGCAAATCTAAAAATTACTATGACGTTAGAAATAAAACCGGGCTGGGGAGAGACGAAAGTGCGCCATGTGATGGCAATTAGGATTTTGCAGTGGTAACATTTGGAACTATTTCTAGGTTAAAATTAACTACTTTTCATATATCTACCCCTGAGCAGCTTGGTCAGTGCCAATGCTACAGTTCAGCTGTAGGTGTTCAAGAAGCGTCCCATGCTAGTCAAATTAGTACCTACTGGCAAAAATTCATACCTTTCCAATGAGCCACTGCATGAATCCAACATGGTAAAGCATAGACATTACTGTGCTGAAAAAGACCACAATTGGCAGGACCTGATTTGGAGACACAAAATCATTAACACTTCTATAGTGTTTTCCTTTCCTTGATTCTATAGGCCATTTCATTTTTGAAAAAGAGGCTCATATCTCTGGAGATAAACGTATTGAAAACTCATAATTAAGTTTACATTTATGCTGTGACATTTTTAACCTTCTATACTCATTGTTTATGTTTGTGCTAGACTTCACTATTTTTCATATATCTACATAGTTTTCTAACAGGACTGCAATGGTTTTGAAACTGTCTGGTTTAACATAATATGCATCAGTTTATAGCCCTGTGTAAGTCAGCTCAAACATTTATTGGGCAATGGCATCTACAGAATCCTTGGATATCTACATCATCTGTACACTTTGAAAATGATGAACAGAAATATAGTGGGACTGTGGCACAGAATTCAGAGCTCAACTTCTCTGTGTCTGTGTTTAAAAAACACACTTTAGACTGTTATATAAGCTGAAGTTGGAGATTTTGATTGGGATTGTAGCTAACTTGATTTCACAGAATCAAGAGGCAGCTTCCTTAGAAAGCCCATACTGTGTAACTGCCTTTTAATAATACACTGCAGAAAAATCCTCTTTTGTTCTTCTCTATTTATAGGATTGATTACAATTCCAATGTGGTTTATTCAAGAGCTCTGTAAGTGTAAGCAGAGAGAATCTGCTTTAAAAAAAAATTCACAGGTGTATACTTATTAAATACAAGAAGTAAATATAAGTCTCTTTCAGTGGAGACTGAAGAAAAAACGTTTTCCTTAAACATATAATTTAAAAGAAATGTATGAATACCTAACCCACTATCTGATGGGTTATTAAATGTGTTGTTATTTCATCTAAATCAAACTAGTATCACTTGATTCTCAAGTATGTTAAATACACAGGATCTCAGCATTTTTATGCAGGTATACAACAGGAAGAAAAGTCCCCACAGAAGTTCCAAAATTAGGCAGACAGATTAGTTACAGTTAAAACCGTACCACTAACACTAGGAAGATTTTATATGTGTTCAACTGAGAGCATAATGCATTATAAAAAAAGTAAGGAACAAAATGAAAAAGAACAAAACACTTTGTTCGTTCAGAGCTTTTCAGTAAATAGAAGCTGTACCTCTCTAGAGGAGTGTTAGTACTATCACCAATTTTGATAAAGGTTTGGGAACTCAGTTTACATGATCAGAACCTCTAACTGAAAGGAAACAGTGCAACAGTGCAATTGTTGTGCTCTTCTACAAGTTAATATAAGGCTGCTTTCTCTAGTTTGATTCTCTGATCCTTTTAGCGATCCTCTAGGGGTGGTTTGCCGTGTGGTGACAGCAGAAATTTTAGTTCAGTAGAAGTTAACACCCTTCCCCCATGCTTTTTCTCTCCTGCCATTCCCTCTCCCTGTTCCTAAGTGTGCTAGCTGGAAAGGCATCTGACTCCCAGCTGACTCCAGACCCTGGTACAAGTAGGGACTGCCTGCAGGCCTGTAGGAAAATGGATCTGTAGAGGCAGTGGGCAGACAGGGAAGGTCAAAGAAGCCGCAAGTAAAAGCCACAAGTGAGTGTTCTCCAGTCTGTCACTCCAAATGGATGAGAAGAACTCTCAGGGTTGAGAACTGTGTTTTGGTTTTAGCTGAAGTAGCAAGAAGACAATGTACTGCCTATGCTGGGTATCAGCTGGCACCCTTTGTCCTGCTTCTTGTGTACATTCCTCTGAAAATATCTTCTTAGATAATTTTAAAACATGTTTTTTTCGTTTTTGCAGTTGCAGGCATTTCTGGATGATGCATTTGTCTTTAAGAAACAGAGAATTTGTTTTTCTGTTGTTATCATTTGTCTTGAATGCATAAAGAATTTGGGGACTATTGTACAACTGAACTTTTCTGCCTAAGTGCCCATTGATTTAATGTGGTACCATAATGTTATGTCTTCATCAGAAAGGTGTATCAACCATTTAACAAGTAATTGTAACTATTTGTCATGTCCAGGCTACCTTTTATCTAAGGCATAACAAAATCACATGGAAAACACTGGCAAATTATTACCCTAAAATATGTCACATGTAATTAATCTACTTGCAATATCGCAGTGGGTTTTCAGTTGTGTTGTCCACAGAGACAAATGCAATTAAAGGCACTTAACATGTAACAACTAGTTCAACTGAAAAAAACAGAACTCTTTTACAGAAAGGCTTCCCATGGTGTTAATACATTGAAGCATTAATTCACTGGGTTTGAAACTTAGAAGAGAACAGCCTCAGGAAAACTCTCTCCTATGTCTACATGGAATGGCCACCTCCTCTCCTCCAGCCCTCATGCTGGGCCCACAAGTGCTTGCACATTGCAGGTGGGACAAGAATGAGAAAACCAATGCAGGAGAGTCTTCTCCTGCTTCCCATCCTCTCCTTCCTCCTCTTCATGTTGACAAAACCAGGGAAGTAGGTGGCACAGGATCAGTAATGTTGGAGGGCTCCCTCTGAGGTTCTTAGGGCTTGGGTAAAAGGACATGTGTGTCCAGGTAATACCTCAACGGTGTAGTGATGTGCAGGGTCATGGGTAAGGAGGGGAAAGCTCTGGTGGTGCTTCTAAGTCAGGAATCTGGCAAAGCACCTAGAGGGCAAAGGGAGCCCAGTCTAGGAGCAAGTCTGGGGAGGGTGGAAGGAGCCCAGCCTTGCTGGAGCTGAGCATACAGGATCTGGGGAGTTGAGGAATATACCATGCAAACTTTTGTATTTGAGGAGGGGTCTGGAGAGCTATGGAATTGAGGTGGGAGAAAAGGAGGCACGGGGATGATCTAAGGAGTCAGAACATCTTCATTCTGTAACCATGGGGCTATCACACATACTGTGAGTGTAGGAATATCTGCAGAGCAGGGGGAGGTCATGGTGGAACGCTGGCCTTAACTGGCAGTGTTTCCTTTGTTGGTTAATTGTGAAATGTATTTGTAAATAAAAGGTCAAGGTTCCCATTTATTTCTTTCAGAGATTGCATGAAATTACTTTTAAGAAAAGAAAAGCTCTTAAACCTCATTCTTCTGTCTCATGGACTCCTAGTTCCCTCCTTCTGCTACAGTGCCCTTATTCTCTGAGTGCAAGAGTCTGCCTCAGACATGTGGGTACTCTGAACTGTTCAGTTTTTTCCTTATGTACCTTTAAAGAAGAAGTTGCTATTTATGTTTAAGAAACATCCTGGTTTCAGACACTCCTAAAGCCTGACCTTCAAACAAAAGCCCTTCTCAAGGAGCCATAGCCATAATCCTTCTGGCATAACAAAGAAACTACTGATATGACAGAAGTCTCATTTCCTGCTTGCTCAATGCAAACTTTGCCTTTCATAGTCAACAGGAGAGATGACTTAGTACTAAGAGGGTTTTTTTGCCTACTTTTAAGTACTTGGGTGTGCTTGTTTACCTGGGCAAGTGTTTTTTACAGAACTCCAAAACTCTGAATCTCCATGCACTAGTACACATTTAAAATAATGCAGTTTATGCGTGCAAATGCATGCATTTATGGCTAATTTAGGGCTTCCAAGACTGTGTGCTCAAAGGCTGTAGTGGGGCTGGTCAGAACACCCAGTGAGTATGTGCAGGGGATGTGTCTGCACTGGTAACTGTGTTCATCTAAGTCAGCAGAAAACTGAGGTGTCCCTGCATACCACTAAGGATGTAGTATGGCTACAACTGGGCTCTGACAGTTTTCTGTGAAGACATTCCCTATCACTTGTCTACTCTCTCTCAATAGCTAAACTGAGATTAAGAGGTTTCTCTTTTGGAGGGTGTTTTGCTGTATCTTGGGGCAAGATTTGGACAGCTCAGTGCTACATGCAAACAAAATATCTGACAGACACAAAAGAACACTTTTGACCATCTTAATCTCTAAATAAATGACAAGTGTTTTGTGAGAGAATAGTCTGGGTATCACTCACTGATGCTGGAAGAGAGAAATCTCTACAAGAGGAGCAGATGGAACATGTTTGGGTGTTGCTGTGCACTTGTCTGCCACTCTGTTTACCATATATATTCCTATACTAAGACATATGCAGCTCTGAAAATCAACTCAGTTTTGATTTCTCATTTTTCAGAGTGAAAATAACCTATTTGTTGTTGTTACCCTCTTCCAGAAATTGTGCATGTCTTCTGCTGGTTTATCCCATGAAATAAAAAACTGATGGATGTGTGCATACACAGAAGAAAACTTCTGACTGTCTGGTCCCTAGTCCTGGCTTTAGTCAGCAATGTATCTTGCATCACCACTGAGGCATTAAAAAAATCACCTTGAAAATATCATATTCACAAGGTGTTGTGGAAGAACACGGAAAAATAGCATTGGGAGTGGGAATTAAACCGTTTCACCTCAAAAATATTTAATTGTGAATGCAAATTGTCATTTGGACGCTCAACAGAGTAAAGGTGAGAGGAAATCGGAAAGTGAAGCAAAAGGTACAAAAATACTGCAGTTAAAAAAATATAATTTATATTTCTTGCTAAATTGCTTCATTTTTTTCCTCCTCTAAGATGTTCTGACTATTCTTAGTAGCAGCATATTTTACAGGTAGCATCTTTTTTCTTAAGTAGTGAAAGACTTAAGTGTGAAGAATATCCAGTTTGGAATATCACATCCAGAAAAAAAGAAGATTAAAGGTGTGTAAACCCATGGTCAGCTGACTGAATACCAGAGAGAATAATGGTCTCTGAGAAAGTCCTGCTGCATCTGTCATGGTTTTTTGGTTTGGGGTTTTTGTTTGCTTCCTATGTTCTTGATTCCAGCCTAAACAAGTATTATGGCATGAGCTACATGTGGAAGCAAAGCCAGACAGGATACTGGTGCAGATTAGGGAGCATAGAGCACATAAACTGTATTCCAGCAGTTTCCCAACAAAATCTACTAAGGGAGAGCTGGGAAATCTCCCTTGGATCTTACTAATGTAATAATAATATAAGGTAATTCTTCCTGCTTATTGCAACTTCTATCTCTTCTACCTGGTATAAGTATACATCTAGGTTTTCCACTTCTACAGGAGGAATGTCTACGAGGCAGTGGTCTGCACAGCACTTTAGGACAGAAAATTAGAGTATACAAGGGTAAGCTATCTCATTTTACGACAGTAAATAAAGGGCTTTATGTAGGTTTCCCAAATTTTCTATTCAGTGTCACACAGTACTGAATAGCTTACCTATTAGCTGATTTCTCTGGTGACTGCACTGGTATCAGATGACATACAATGAATTTATTTCACAGCCATACTGTACTTTTTTCTCTTGTCTATCTGCCACATACAGTATAAATAAAACCTGTCTTACCTTAAAAGCAAAGAAATGATTCGTGTATTTCTCACCAAATACAAATTTAGCACCTGTGTCAGAGTACTCCAGAAAAGTCTAGGGACAGAAAGCAAAGAAAGTTAGCCATAAGCTCCATGACCCTGCCAAAAACTAAGCAATTACTGCTAGTTGTCTTGCAGAGACATGGTGAGGTCCAAGGAGCTTGTGTTCTGCTCTGTACAGGTCCACACTTCACTGACTGTGTCTGGCAGAACCCACAGTCTCTGCTCTTCTCTGCTGAGAGCTCAGGCTGATTCAGGGTATGTAGATGAATAGCAACATCAGAGGGCACATTTGCCTTCAGTACCCAACATGATAAAGACCATAAACTATTCTAAAAGAATAATTTATTTTTTAATCCAGATACTTTCTCTCATGCAAATAAGTGCAATAAACAATTCAATCTAAAACAGAGACTTAATAGCTGAAGTTTTGAAAGGAGTAGCCAAAAGCCAAAAAAATCTGCTTTTAATTATGATACAGTGGTGCATTTTTATGCTCCTGATGCCAACATATGCAAATGGAGACATAATAGCTAGAGTAATGAGTTATGACAGGAGTGACCACAAACCATATGGAGCTAACAAAAGGGAGCACTGGGCCCACTTCAGTTGGAGACGAAAGAGGAGACTGAAAACCTGGTGACAAAACCCAGATGACTCCCACTGCTTGCAGATTAGCAGCCAGATGGACATGAAAAATGTACCTTTGCTCCCGTGCAGACAGTACATTCTGCACTGTTTTGTTTTAAATGCACTTAATTATCTGTACTGCGAAGAACAGCTGTGTGAATAGTATCCTTGGGGTGACAAGTCAGTGGGTATTCTCTGATCTACATTTTGGACTTCTCTTATTTATTACTTTACAGTAATGGACTATTTCAAAAAACAGTGCCTGCAGGGGCACCTACAGACTCCTCTCTAGAGATCCTTTGCTGCTCACAGCTGTGAATTTTGTTACCTATAGTTGAATTTTCTTATATGTCGTGAGAACTATGAAATGTCCCTAAGGCCAGGAGTGCAACTACTCTGAAGACAACGGCAGTTCAGCCCTGCTAAATCTCAAGGCTTTTCAGTTTATAAGGTTTACTGCAAGGATGCTTTGGAGTTGGGCCAGGTCTAAGCGTTTCTCTGAGTGCCCTGGAACAATAGCATTTTTGCCTTTGGAGTGTGTAATTTATAATTTCAGCCCAAGGATGGTAAAGTCTTTAAGAAGCAGGGTCACTCTGACCATTACTCATCAGCCTGTCCCACATGGTCTTGTATTAGCTGGACAAAAAAAGAACGAGAAGGTTGAATTCAGGTAGTCAATTATTCTCAGAACACAGTTTGCCTCAAGTGGGGAAAACATCCAGGGACAAACAGAACCTTGATCTGAATGGCTGTTATGTAAGAGTCTCAAGACAGAAAATTCCATAAAAATTAAACTTTTTGCCCAGTAGCTTACCTGGATCTGAATGCCTAGCCAGTTAAATACATCAAACCCCACTTTGGTCCTCAGTATAAGAAGCCCAAGGATAAACTGCATTCCTATTCCTGAAAATACTGGTCTCCAAACAACCTAGGTGGACAGAAAAATAAAAATGAATAACCACTTGTTATTTAAATAAATAACAATATACTTCAGATGTTTGTTAAAATAATATAAGGGGATTGTCTGTACTGCAGGATAGAAGCAGCTGCCAAAACAGGTTGCAGGGGACTTGGAGCGTGAATCACCCCTCCTAATTTGAGAGCTCTACAATGTGGATGTCTCCATCTGAGCCAACTGCTGAAAGCCTGTCAAGGTTAAGTATGGACATGCCCATTCACCATCGTAGACTGCTAGAAATCAAGTAGGAGGGAAAAGGAGAGATAGCTTTTTTTGTGCTACAGTTTATAGATGAGATAGACATATATGAGGGCAGCAGACATGATTCTTCTTTCTTTTTTTTTTTCCTTCTTTTTTTTTTTTTTTTCCAATTGGAATGAAAACATCCAAAAAAAAAGGTAACCTAGAATGCAGATTCTTCACATATCTGGGCTGGGAATAAGGAGATTTTGCTACACTTTTTTGTGTGTGTTTGGGTAATTTCAACTCTGTTTCTGTTCCCCAGCTTTAAAGATCTCTGACGCTTGAGAACTAATCACAGTTAGATATTGCAATTCATGTGACATAAAGGCAGTTGCAGGAAAAACTGTGGCTGCCTGTGACCAGCCCCTCTTCACTACATCACAGATTTCTGCTCTGCTACCTCAGAAAACATCTTTGTTTTGTGAAAACTGAATCTGATTATTTACCAGGTAAAGAGCTGAGATGTCACTTTAATTTATTCAGATGATATATGAATAACACAAACTTATTAGGTGTAATGAGGACCCATGGGAGAGCAGAAAGCATTCGGAGTACATGAGTTTTCACCTCAGTTGGAGACAGCAGCAGTTGCAAAGGATGGCAAGTGGCAAGTGCGTTAGTCTCTCCTGAGAGGACTTTTTTCTATTAAGGAAGTCTCTGCACTGATGCAGGAAAGTTGAAAAAGTGTTGGTGAAACTTGGTGACCTGGACAATGGATTAATATATGACTGTTGAAAGCATGTGCTTCATGCTAGGTATGCACACAAGGTAAAAGCTGAGGTGGAAGTTGTGGTCACTGAAGTAATATCACAGCAGTACATAGTGGACATCTCAGCTGGAAAATAAAAAAAAATGGCATTGACAAGCCTGTGGGAGTAGGTTAGTGAAAAGTGAGGACTTCAGCTTGGCCTCAGCTGCTGCATTTGCAGAGGGAATTGGATTTGTGAAGGATTAAGAGCTACACAAGGGAAGCACATCTCCAGGTCCCTGTGATTTATGTTAATGTGATGACAGTGTCCTCAAATGAGTGTCTGTGATGTCCTGAGGACTGTAGTGAGTCTCCTGTGGGTGGAAAGCATGGAGCAGGCCTGCCTCAGCTTTCACTGATGCTCCAGAAGTAAATGTGTTCCAATATGCATCAGTGCTGGAACAAAGGATGGGCAGCGGTCTCCTAAAATACTGAGACCCAGATGCTGGTAGAACCCCACACATGTTCCCCAAGACATCAGAGCAAAATTACTTTCCTCAGAAATGAAATACATCACTGGTTTTGGTAAGTCTAAATTTTGATGTTCATCGGCTTTCTGTTACTCTTATTGAACTTGGTTCGAGGGAAGAGGAACAGCATTTGAGACATTAAACAAAAAACTCCAAAAGATCCAACATGGGCTAAATACTCACTCTGTTTGGGTATTTGGAAAAGATAAACATCAAGAGAACATACATCACAAGCCCACCAAAGGAGATTAGCTGGTGAGATCCTTGTTTTGCTGTGTCAAAGATGAGCCAGCAGATGATAGTTACAATAAAAGCCGCATGCAACACCCTAGGAAAAAAAAGTGTCAGGCATGACATCCTGAAGAAGACCATATATTCCTTTCCCTTTCCCTCTCTACAAGATTTACATCTTTGTCTGTGAATGCACTCTCTGAGCAATGTATTAAGTTGTAATGTGAAGCTCTACACAAGCAGGAACCTGCCTTTGCTGATGCAACTCTGGCAACAACATCCCTCAGTGGCAACCAGAGAAATGTCCTCCAACCATGTCCCCAAAGTCAGACTGTGGGGGAAACCCAATAAAGCATGAGTAACTTTAGTCTGGGTGATATTTCTGTTAAACGAAGTGTGAGAAGACGCCCTTCTTTTTTACTCCATCCTCCTTTTTCTTTCCTGTCTTCTTTATTGAGTCTTTTCTTAGCTCTGGGCAAAACAGGCCGTGTTTTTTATGAATTGCATTGTGCTGTTTAACTGGTGCGTCTAAGAAACACACTACTGAGGAGCAGGTTATAAACTGTTTTCTTCTCTGTAACTGGCTGTAGTCTATTTAGAAAAATAACTTTTAATCAGAACAATTCTTGCTAACTCAGAAACAATGAAAAGAGCCATGTGGACATCTGTGTCCAGCATTTCTATGGTCCCCACTATCGCAGAACTGTGTTCAGTTTGCATATTGAGGGCAATTGTCACAACACTAGCCTGAGAGGCAAGGAAATATATCATTCCATCTTCAGATGGGAAAACTAAACTAAATATAGTCCCAGTTCTTTAATGTTACTTGTGTCTAACAGTTGCTTAGTTTCCACTGATTTCAGGTACTTAGATACCTAAATTCTGGTTTTAGACCTGGATCCAAAATACTGCAGGCCAACTCCACAAAATGGCTTGGCCATTGCAATGCTGAATAACACTTTCTACACATGACAGACATTATGTCTCTTGCAGGTAACCGTGGCCTACAGTTAGGCACTTAATCTGTGATATGAACAATTGAAGGATTGCAGCCCAGTTAATACAGGATTTACTATCCCTGGCTTGCTCATCAGGGCTCTCCTGTTCAGTTTGCTGCTTTCCCGAAAGAGGCTGCCAAATCGTCTAATGAAGGTGCCTGTGTGTGACTGTTCTCTAATGTGGCTCGTGAGCAGAAGGACCACAATCTCTACAGCATCTTTCTTAGAAATTCCTGCTCCTGTGGCAAAACCATTTCAAAATCTTGAGAATAAATTGGGACATCCTTCTGAGCCCAGAATGACTCTTCCTTAGAGCTTTTTCTTTCTCAGATAGGTGACATCTAAGACAGAAGGCAGTTGGCCAGTTTCCTTTTCCTTTATAATGAGATTTCATTTGGTATTTTCTTTGGTCTATGAGACTCCTTTGACTCCCCATTTTCCCAGGAATAACTTAAATTTTTGTGATAACTGCTCAGGAATACTTGGAATAAGTATCTACCTATAGGTAGATACAGATCTATAAGGATATAAGTATCTACCATTTATCTATCAGATGAATGTCTACCATCCCAAATAAGGTTGTATGATCTTATTATGACAATAAATGTGGATCTTATTATGACAATAAACGTGGCTGACATGTTTTGATTCCTCAAGGTCAAGTAAAAATCGCTATGGAGATATGTGAAAAGTATTGGCTAAATAATACACTTCAGTCTTTAGCAGTTTGCATATGTTAAAGTTAAGGTTTTCATGAACCTCACAACTCTCTGAACAAGTGACAGTGAGGCATCTTCTGGCTTGCAGAATGAATGCAGAAGGCTACAACACACCTGAAATTCTGTGAACATGTTCTCCTGCAACCACAAACTTGTCCTATGTCAATTTGAGGAATTTTTTTTTTACACTTTCTGTCAAGATTTTTGATATCTAGCTACTGTATTGCAATCTTAAAGATGTGTCTGAAAATCTATAAACTGGAAAATATTGAATTATTCTGTATGTATTCTTTGCAATTTGTATGATTGATCCATCTCTCTGTGCTTGTGGGTGTGTAAATTGAAATAGAACTATAAGTGTAAACTGACTAATGCTTTGTCCTTCTGCATAAATAGGAAGCAATTCACACTTACCACTTCAGCCAAAACCACTGTTTCTCCAGATACCTTTTGCCAGGGGAAAAGAATGCAGCAATTCTTTCTCCATACTTAGCTATTAAAATATCCCAGCAGATGACAAAGATGGCTAGGACAGTGATGATAAAGAGTGGCAAGGCTCTCTGAAAATTTAAGCTGCAGGCTGCAATAACTACTGCCATGTATGCTGTCACAGAAACAAGAATATACATGTTGGTTAGGTTGGTCTTTTTAAAATAAGAATAAAATCTTAAATTTAAAGGATGTGGTTAAAGACAGGTCTGTGTTTATCTTTTAAGTGCTTTTCTGACTCCTGGCCTAAATACTGAAAAATTTTGCTTTCATAGACAGTGTTACTTACGATATGGTCATTGATAGAAAAGGTGGCTTTCATCCTGTCAAAGCAGGTTATGTGCTTTGGCCAAGCCAAGTTCCTATCAGACATGTTAATCACTTGGGAAAATTAAACACCTCTACAGAATTGCTTTATCCTGTGCAAAAACTGTGAATTATGCACAATGTGTTTTGTTCCTTCTTTCACCAGAGGAGTTTATCCAATAAAGCTAGAAAAAACCCCACTTAGAAACACTTGTCCATTGCATGATTTGATGGCCCTCTCAAGTAATTCGGAAGCTTAAAAGTAGTTTCTTTCATAAAGCAGCTGTGAAATGATTTGTCAGTTTTGCAGGGTCATTGATAATAGCTGCTGGCCAACGAAATATCCAGTTCTTGTAAATAATCTGATTTTGTCTATCGCAAATAAGGAAGAACTACTGATTTTTGTAAGGCAAGTTGTTTTTTATGGAATTAACATGTGAAGTATCCTAGCCATCATCATAGCTGGAAGTTCTTAGAACTCACTTGCTTTCTTGAGCCAGGATATGCCTGTACTATGACAAAGCATGGCAAGCTGATGCTAGGAGGGCAGGATATTCCGCATGCAAGAGGCCCTTTTATAATCACTTTATGGTATGCCGATCCCTGTCGTACAGACATATTTCAGGTCTACATGTTCTCAGTGTTCATGTAGGAGGATGTCAAAAAGAAATATGGTGAAGTAGAAGGAAACAAACCAACTGGATAATTAGGAAAGGGACAAAAAAAGAGTACCTGAATAACTTTTCAGTGCATGCTGACATAAAACACATTTCCTCTAACATTTGTTGTGGATGTTAAGTTATATGGGTCAGAACAGGAAACATTCCTTTCTAGCCTGCTGACTTAAGTTCAGTCCAAGTTGGTGCCTGGCTCTTTTTAATGTAATTTCATGGGTTTGGGCAAGTTTCTACAGCTGTAACTTAATGGGCCTTTTAGAGGGGGCTTGTAATGGAGCAGACAAAGACTGAACTATCCTTTTATCCCAAATGTAATTGGTAGTCAGATTGAAAGATTCTGGAGGAGCAATGTAGCCAGATCTGTGCTTTTGTTAAGTTTTGGAATGAGTGGAGGTTTTGTGATCTGGAGCTTTCTCTGGGACTAAATTCACTTTTACCTCCTTTCAAATGCATTCTTTAAGACAGTAGAGAGTATTTGTGTCACATAGAAGACAGGCACAGTCTACAATCTCATATAGGTAAATAAATAAGGCTTCAACAACCCTGAATGTAATATACTGTACCTGTTACTAGAATTCCGTAGATCACGTAATGAATTCTGGATTTATGTTTCTTGCAAAATTCACAGACTTTATCATATTTCTCTTCTAAATGCCTAGGAAAATGCAAAAAACCAAACAGAACAGAAACTTGAGCTATGGATATAAAAAAGAGTAATTTGCACAGGAAGATCTGGTTAAATTGATTAAAGTTTCTCCACTGGAGTATGCTGCACTTGGTAAGGGTTAAATTTGAATCCCAAACTGCCAAAGAAAATTGTACCAACATCTGCAGGGCTTTTAGGAGGAAATTCTTTAGTTTAATGTTGGACAAGTAAAAAAGATCTGGCAGATATCTAATCGGCCAATCTGTCAAATATCTAATGGGCTGAAGTTAACATGCCAGTTCTGCTAGCCTCTGAAGTACAGGTCTTCTGTGAAGAGGTCTGTTAACAGGGTTACTGCAAACTGGGTTGGTAGTTAAAGACTCAGAGCCCATTAATAGACCCACAAAGATTGTTAAGACAGCCAGCCCAGCATTACTATGTGGGGCAGTGGTGTTGATATGGTTGTGAAGGCTTATGACGGCATTTGTGTGTGCAAAATAACCAATGTCCATCTAAAATCTCATTACATTGTGTATAGATGTTTCCTAAGAAGGAAAGGAGGGTAATTGTAGTGGGTGACTCTGTTCTGAGGGATATGGAGAGGCCTATCTGTCGACCAGACCCTTACCATAGGGAGGACTGCTGCCTCCCTGGGGCTCAGGTTAGAGACATTAAAAGGAAGGTCACTGTTCTGATGCAGCCCTCTGTTTACTACCCTTTGTTGGTTATCCAGGCAGGTAATGATGAGGTGGTAGAGAGAAATCTAAAGTCACTCAAAACGGACTTCAAGGGATTGGTGTGGCTAGTTGAAGGCTCAGGAGCTAGGGTGGTGCTTTCATCAAACCCTCAAGTGGAAGGGAAAAACTATGAAAGAGGGTAGAAATCACATCTGATTAGTCTCTCAGAGACTGGTTCCACCATTGGCATTTTGAGTTCTTTGATCATGGCAAAGTTTATAAGGCACCTGGTCTGTTGGTGACAAATGGGACAGATGGGATGCAGCCGTCCCAGAGGGGGAAAAGGATCTGGGGGCAGGAATTAGCTGAGCTTATTGACAGGGCTTTAAACTAGATATGAGCGGGGATGGGTTGATAACTGGGCATGTTAGGAATAAGCTCAAGGGAAACATGCCAAGGCATGAAGGATGGTGGACTAGTGAGGGCTCTCCCTCTGCTATTTCATTTGAGAGAAGGGACAGTTGTTTAGAAACCATGGAAGCACCTGGGAAGGGTCTGGTAGGAAATGGGGCCCACACTCACAAAAAGCTGTTGGATTCATTAGCTCATCTCAAGTGCATCTATACCAATGCACACAGTGTGAGCAACAAACAGGGGGAGCTTGAGGCCATGACGCAGCATGAGAACTATGACATAGTAGCTATCACAGAACCGTGGTGGGATGCCTCACACGACTGGAGTGCTGCAATCGATGGCTACAAGCTCTTCAGGAGGGACAGACAGGGAAGGAGAGGCAGTGGAGTGGCCCTGTGTGTTAGAGAATGCTATGAGAGCTCAGAAATCAAGTGCAGCGATAACGGGGTTGAGAGTGTGTGGAGTAGGTTAAGGGCCAGTAAAGCGGATCTTGCTGTGGAGTCTGCTATAGACCCCCCAGCCACAGCAGTGAGGTGGATGAAGCTTTCTGTAAACAGTTGGGAGAAATCTCGCAGTCACTTGCTCTTGTTCTTGTGGGGGACTTGAACCTCCTGGGTATCTGCTGGGATCAAGCACAGCAAAGAGGGAACAGTCCAGGAGGTTCCTGGAGTGTGTGGAGGATAACTTCCTCACACAGCTGGTGAGTGAGCCGAGCAGGGAAGGTGCCTCCTGGACCTGCTGCTTGTGAACAGGGAAGAGCTTGTGGGGGAGGTAAAGGTTGGAGGCCGTCCAGGGTGCAGTGATGGTGAGATGGTTGAGTTTTCCATCCTTGGAGAAACAAAGAGAGGGGTTAGTAAAACTGCCACCTTGGACTTCTGAGAGGAAAACTCTGACCTGTTCAAAAGACTGACAGACAAAATCCCGTGGGAGGCTGCCCTGAAGGATATGGGAGCCCAGGAAGGCTGGACATACTTCAGGAGAGAAGTCTTAAAGGCACAGGAGCAGGCTGTTCCCGTGTGCTGGAAAACAAGCAGGTGGGGAAGGAGACCAGCCTGGCTAAACAGGGACCTTTGGCTGGATCCCAAGAACAAAAGGAGAATCTATGACCTTTGGAAAAGGGGACAGATCTCTCATGAAGACGATAAAGATGTAGTGAAGTTATGCAGGGAGAACATCAGGAGAGCCAAAGCACAGCCAGAGCTCAACCTGGCTACAGCTGTTAAAGATAATAAAAAATGTTTCTATAAATTCATTAACAACAAAAGGAGCTTTAGGGAAAATCTCCCTCCTTTACTGGGTGCAGAGGGAAACAGTAAGTAAGGATGAGGAAAAGGCTGAGGTGCTCAACGCCTACTTTGCCTCAGTCTCTAGCAGTGGAACTGGCTGTTCCCTGCACACCCAGCCTCAGGAGCTGGGAGATGGGGAGGGGAAGCAGACTGAGGTCAGCACAGCTGAAGAGAAGGTGGTCAGAGACCTGTTACACCACTTGGATGCACACAAGTCTGTGGGACCGGATGGGTGACACCCAAGGGCGCTGAAAGAGTTGGCAGATGTGCTCGCCAAGCCGCTGTCCATGATTTACCTGAAGTCATGGCTGACTGGGGAGGTCCCACTGGACTGGAGGGTGGCAAATGTGACACCCATCTGCAAGAGAGGCAGAAAGGAGGATCCAGGGAACTACAGACCTGTCAGTCTGACCTCGGTGCCAGGGAAGGTCATGGAGCAGGTCATCTCAAGTGCCATTACAAGTCATATAATGGACATCCAGGGGATCAGGCCCAGTCAGCATGGGGGTATGAAAGGCAGGTCCTGCCTGACAAACCTGATCTCCTCCTCATGAGAGGATGACCCGACTATTGGACAAGGGAAAGGCTGTGGATATTGTCTACCTGGGTTTTTGAAAAAACATTTGACACAGTTCCCCATAGAATTCTCATAGAAAAACTGGCTGCCCATGGCCTGGATGAGCACACGGTCTGCTGGATCAAGCACTGGCTGGATGGACGGTCCCAGAGAGTGGTGGTCAGTGGAGTTAAATCCAGCTGGTGGCCGGTCACAAGTGGTGTTCCTCAGGGCTTGGTGGTGGGACCATTTCTGTTTAACATCTTTATTGATGATCTTGATAAAGACACAGAGTGTGTCATCAGTGAGTGCGCAGATGACACCAAGTTAAGTGGGAGTGACAATCTTCATGAGGATAGGGAGGCTCTACAGAGAGACTTGGATAGATTGGATCAGTGGGCCAACATTAACAGGATGAGCTTCAACAAGGCCAAGTGCCAGGTCCTGCACTTGGGCCACAACAACCCCCTGCATGGCTACAGGCTTGGGGAGGTGTGGCTGGAGCTGTCTGGGAGAGAAGGATCTGGGGGTTCTCATTGACAAGCAGCTGAACATGAGCCGGCAGTGTGTCCAGGTGGCCAAGAAAGCCAACGGCATCCTGGCTTGTGTCAGAAATAGTGTGACCAGCAGAAGTAGGGAGGTGACAGTCCCCCTGTGCTCTGCACTGGTGAGGCCACACCTGGAGTGTTGTGTCCAGTTTTGGGCACCTCAATACGAGAGAGATATTGAGGTGCTGGAGCAAGTGCAGAGGGGGGCAATGAAGCTGGTGAAGGGCCTGGAGAACAAGTCCTGTGAGGAGAATTTGAAGGAGCTGGGATTGTTTAGCTTGAGGAGGAGAAGGCTGATGGGACACCTCATCCCTCTCTACAGCTACCTGAAAGGACATTGTAGAGAGGTTGGTGCTGGTCTCTTCTCACAGGTGATTAGTGACAGAACAAGAGGGAATGGCTTTAAACTGCAACAGGGGAGGTTCAGACTGGACATTAGGAAAAAAATTTTCACAGCAAGAGTGGTCAGACAGTGGAATATGCTGCCCAGGGAGGGGGTGGAGTGGATGTGTTTAAGGGTCATTTAGATGAGATGATGGGGGATATGGTGTAGGGAAGAACTTTGTAGAGTAGGGCTAATGGCTGGAATTGATGATCCCAAGGGTCTTTTCCAACCTGAATGATTCTGTGATTATGTGATTCTGTATATTTGAAAATTTGATTGTTAATTACATTAACTTTTCATCTAAGACTCATCAGTTCATGGAAGCTAAAATGATTTATTCTGTTTGAATGACCTATTCCAGTATCTGTTCTTCCAATTATTACATATGTCACTTGTTCTTTTCTAATCTCACTAAGCATAATACAAAGTGATTTCATGAGGGAGGCTGAAACTTAGCAAAATTGCAGTTAAAGGAGTTAATACAACAGAGACTGCCATGTTAAGTATGCTGGTGATGCAGACATATTTCAAATACAAAAGCTGTAGCTAAACAAAAAAATTCATGCTGTGCAAGATGAAAAAGAAATCACAGCTATAGCTCTGTCTCTCTAAACAGGTGCCTCACACTCTGCAGTCTAAAAAGGCAATGTTATATTTAGAGATACCAATTATCCAGACTGTATTTGTTTGGAAATTAGATGCAGCTGGAGTCAATTGCAAAACAAAGTGCACCGTTAATATACTTCTCTTCTACACTTAAAAAAAAATAAATAAATGATGTTGGAAAGAAACAAGGAATATTAACTTAATTTGTATCAGCACTCAGAACAGCAGAGCAGGAACACACTCCTTCACCAGTACGAAGAGTAACGGCGTGTCTGAAGAATCCTGCTTGCTTTTGATATATCAGTTTTAGTTCTGGGAATTCCTGTTGCCCCACAAATCGTAGCTTTTTTTTTTTTTTTTTTCCTTGTAAGAACATTAGGTTGTCTGCCCAGTCTCAGCAGAGAGATTAGATACAACAGGAAAAGAAAGAAAAGAAGAAATGAGGGCAGATGCATGAATAAGCCAGAGTTACTTTATCAAATTTATGGTTCATCCGTCAACAACATAAAGGAAAAAATATTGTCTTTCTGTTACTGCTACATATGAGTCTTTTGGGATTTAAAATTATTTTAAGATTACAATCCCTTGTTATCTCTTATTTGCTCTAACATCTCTCTCTTCCTTGTTATTTTATTAATTTAGGTGATTATCACTTTGAAACCAGGATATTTTAGGCATATATGTCATAAATATGCAACTCTGTTCTGAAAAGTAGCAGAAAAAAACATCTTCCTTATGAAATCTGGTTAATTTACTAAGGAAACATTATTTTCTAAGAGTTGATTTTATAGGCTTAAAGTGCAGCATATTGCTGATGGCTTTTACTTAACCAAAGATGCTGGAAAAACAGGTATCACTTAAGCACATTTAAAAGAGAACTTTAATGTGAAATACTTATATATGCCAAAACAACTCTTGCTTGCATTTTGCATTTCAGAAATCCTTTTTTTGGTTGACATGTACTCTGTAAGTGAATGTTAACACCTTGCAGATGTAGTGAAACCTTGTTGTCAACAGACTGATCTTTCAAAGGGGTTATGTCTCAGACCACAGCCTTTTCAGTACTATCTGTTGAAAGAAATTATTGACACATTCAAAATGGAGGCATGCTTTGTAAATCCTACTTTTGAGCAGATACAAGGAAGACATAGTGCCTCATAACAGCTGATTTACAAATAACTTGGTAGCAATTCATTGCCCTTGTCAGGTGCTCAACATAAAAATAAACCTAGACAAAGTACAAAACCAGAGAGCACAGAACAAGCTGTAGCCTGCTTGTAATCAGAATAGAGCAAAGTGCTCTTCATCTTCCATCCTGTGAGGAGCTTGCGCTGCCAAAGGCAATGGTACCAGCTGCTGATGGAAGAACAAGGGGACCTCAGGAACAGCAAGTCCTGTGAATTAAATCTGATTTATCTCTCGGCTCTCCATGGGAGTACAAATAAACAACAAGAATAAAAAGTATAGAGGCTTCATCTCTGCTCTAACTCAACCCATCTCTGTGCAGGGATACATCTTGTCAAGTGACTCCTGTGGGCCCAGGTTTGAGGGGGAGATAACCTGCTAACCTTGTATAGCCATTTGATTGTCAACACCTGCTTGTGCAATTAGCTTACTTCTGCGTAAAGCTGGATACCTGCCACTGGAGGGGCTTATCAGACTTGGATGTCTGATCTATCAAATCTCAGCTATTGTTTTTGCTAGACAAGAACCTAAATGTTTTTAATAAGAACCTAAATGTTTTTAACAAGAAAGTGTTTCATGCCAAAGAACTGACAAATCTCAAAAAAAAAAAAAAAAAAAAAAAAAAGATTATTTAAATGACTTCTAAATACATTTGCTAGATTTTTGAAGCAGCATTTTAGTATGACGGCATCACTAAATCTGAGCATATTAACACGTCTTTAAGTTCTCTATGTACAACTTGAAAGCATAATTAAAATCTTCACAACTACTTCTGTATACAAGTGTATCATTTGTACAGGCACAAGATCTTTCCAAGCAGTCCAATCTGAGTAAGAAAAAAAATCGAGATATCTAGTAAGTGAGTTATTAAAATCAGCTGAAAGAGAGATAGGTTCAAAGCTGAAATGGTGTGCTGTATTACAGAATGTAGTCATAGAAATCAGGGGAAAAGTACAACATGATTTCCATGAACATTTATATGAAGATTCAATACGACAGAAAAATATTAAGACATTAAAACATAATTTTAAGTATCATATCTTAATTTTTTAAATGTCTTATACAGGGTTTGTAGTTTTTTCCAAAACCCCTAATCCTTGAGTAAAATGTAGATGTATGCATTCACTGTGTGGTCACTTGGCACCAGAGCTAACAAAGAGTAAAAATTCTGCTCCGTCAAAATGGCTTTTTTTTTGCAGCTGTTATATTCTTATTTTGCACTGGGGTAAATAGCTATGCAAACTGAAGGACAAGTGAATTTTTAACCTCCTGAAAGAGATCACTGTAAAGACCTTTCTTCAAACAAGTCTCTTATGGAAATATTGGAAAAGTAGTTAATGTACAAAAAGAAAAATATTTCTCCTTTAATTTGCAAGGCTTCAGAAGGATAGTTTCATGTTCACATGTGTCAGCTAAAATGCATAAAAATTTTAAATACAATGTGTTCCTCTATTACGCAACTTGCTAGGCAATACCAAGGTCTGTGTAGCATAGGGAGTGAAATTTAGAGCTGTAATTCCAGAAGCAGAACCACTGGCAGCTTATTGCTTAGGCCAGGATGAAGTGAGTGGAAAATTTACTCATCCAAAAGACATTACCCTTTCAAGCGTGGTTGCTCCTCACCTACGGAGTCATGTTTGTTTTCATGAAGATCACTATCAATATTGATGTATTCATCCTCCTGGAAAACAGATCAGTATCAAGGCTGTGAGAGGGGTACATGCTTGTTAAGTAAGGTGTAAAAAAACAGATTCCCGCTGGCAGATGGCTGAAGCTGTCTCACGACTTTCCCATCTGCACTAAGAGCACAGCTTCAGCTCTCCTCTCTGCCACTAATGCTGTGATCAGTATCAGGCAAACCTGGTGGTTAAACTGTGGCTGAGAACCTTCCCAAGTCGTCCACACCATTTTGAAAGGGGAAATAAAGGGGGAAAAAAAATACCAATGCTACTCAAGGCTGGGAAGGGCCCTCTACAGAGTACCACTGCAAACACACCAAAAAGTGGCATCTCCAGGTAGGGATGGTAGAGCTGCTAATTAGCCAACTTGCCCGGGTCCTCCTGTTGATGACCCCCTGTTTTTGATGCTTCTCTCTCTTTGCAGAACTAAAATATGATGTAAATTTTATGTATGGACAATGGTTAAATTGTGTTTGCGCGCGCGTCTTATTGTTTTAAAAATTTAACTAAGCCAATACATTTATTCTTAAGAAAAGCTGCTGAGAAAATGTAACAGGTCACAATCCTTCAAAGAGAGCTAGCATCCACGGGCTTTGCAGCAGAAACTTGGAATTTGGCCAGATAGCACATTTGCATCAGGAACATACCTTTTTGCTACCTGAAACCACATAAGCCTAGCTGCATTAAAGCTTTTGAATGACTGCAGCCTAACGTCCACCATGTTCAAGGACTGTCCTTGAGGTGGCTGGGAATAATACAGCCCCTGGCAGCTCAGTGCACCTGTGGAGGCTGCTGTGCCCACTGTCTTCCTTACCCTGACCTGGTCCAGAGCGGCAGAGGCAAGGTGCCCGTCCCATGGATACATACATCCATGCTTATGGTGGGGCATGTGGAGGGCCTGGTGACCCAAGCCAGGCAGCTGTTGTGTTTAACAGCAGTAGCGTAACTGCACTTGGCCCTTGCGCCATGCTTGCACCTCCTCAATTTAATGCCACGCCAGGGCAGTGTGACTGGTAGCCTGTCCTTGGCTGTGCAGCCAGGACCATGGTGAAGGCACAGAGTATTTTCCTGAGCTGGTGGTCGTGTCCTACCCTCTCAAGAGGAGCTGACCCTCTGTACACAGCCACATAGAGCACTGGCAGGCTACCAGTGAGTTAACCTTTTTATTTTTTTGTCACTATTATTTGTGCTAACCCCATTCCCCAAACTGCTTTGTGAAGCAAGACCCATGGCAGACCTTGACCTGGGCCTTGCCTTCTGTTTGGCTTCCCTGCTGTAGGCATCACTGAAAGTTCTGGAAAGCCCTCAGTTAGTTCTTAGTGACAGACTTGAACCAGCTCAAAGGCAAAATTAACACACGGCCCGTAAATAAAATGGTTATGGAGGAGTATATATGTAGAAAATGATATTCATTCCCCTAGGAGAAAGCTCAGCATGACATGGACAGGAGTTTCTCAGTCATCTTAATTGCAGTTTTTGGAGGGGGGAGGGGTATAGAGGGAGTCACAGAATCATCGAGGTTAAAAGACCTTGAAGATCACCTAGTCCAACCAATAACCTCACACTGACCATTCTCAAGTATACCACATCCCTCAGCGCTATGTCAACCCGACTCTTAAACACCTCCAGGGATGGGGACTCCACCACCTCCCTGGGCAGCCCATTCCAACACCTAACAACCCCTTCTGGAAAGAAATGCTTCCTAATATCCAGTCTAAACCCTCCCTGGTGCAACTTGAGGTCATTCCCTCTTGTCCTATTGCTTGTCACTTGGTTAAGGAGACTCATCCCCAGCTCTCTGCAACCTCTTTACAGGGAGCTGTAGAGGGCGATGAGGTCTCCCCTCAGCCTCCTCTTCTCCAGACTAAACACCCCTAGTTCCATCAGCCGCTCCCCATACGACCTGTGCTCCAGACCCTGCACCAGCTCCGTTGCCCTTCTCTGGACACGCTCGAGTCATTCAATGTCCTTTTTGTAGTGAGGGGCCCAAAACTGAACACAGGAATCGAGGGGCGGCCTCCCCAGTGCCAAGTACAGGGGTCAGATCCCTTCCCTGTCCCTGCTGGCCACGCTATTGCTGACACAAGCCAGGATGCCATTGGCCTTCTTGGCCACCTGGGCACACTGCTGGCTCCTGTTCAGCCAACTGTCAATCAACCCCCCCCAGGTCCCTCTCTGACTGGCAGCTCTCCAGCCACTCCTCCCCAAGCCTGTAGCGCTGCTGGGGGTTGTTGTGGCCCAAGGGCAGCCCTCTGGCATTTGGCCTTATGGAAACTCCTCCAGTTGGGCTCAGCCCATGGCTCCAGCCTGTCCAGGTCTCTCTGCAGAGCCTCCCTACTCTCGAGCAGATCAACACTCCCACCCAACTTGGGGTCACCTGCAAACTGACTGAGGGTGCACTCGATCCCCTCGTCTAGATCATCAGTAAAGATGTTAAACAGGAGTGGCCTCAAAACCGAGCCCTGGGGGACACCACTCGTGACCGGCCACCAACTGGATTTAACTCTGTTCATCACAACTCTCTGGGCCTGGCCATCCAGACAGTTTTTTTACCCAGCAAAGCGTGTGCCCATCCAAGCCATGAGCAGCCAGTTTCGCCAGGAGGATGCTGTGGGAAATGGTGTCAAAGGCTTTACTAAAGTCAAGGTAAACAACATCCACAGCCTTTCCCTCATATAATAAGCAGACCACCCTTTCATAGAAGGAGATCAGGTTTGTGACCTCCCCAGTCAGCCAGGACTGCTGGTAAATGATGGAAAGCAGCCTGGCGAGCACCCCAGCCAGCTCCTTCAGCACCCTCGGGTGTATCCCATCCGGTCCATAGACTTGTGTGTGTCTGTGTGATGCAGCAGGTCACTGACTGTCTCCTCCTGGATTGTGGGGGGGTTCTCCCAGTCTCTATTCTCTGGCTGAGGAGGCCTGAGTCTTGTTATTAAAGACAGAGGCAAAGAAGGCATTAAGCACCTCAGACTTTTCCTCATCAGTCATTGCCATGTTTCCTCTTGCATCTACAGGGAATGGAGGCTCTCCCTGGTCTTTCTTTTGCCATTGACATAGAAACATTTCTAGTTGTCCCTGGTTGCTGAAGCCAGATTAATTTCTATCTGGGCTTTAGACCTAATTTCCACCCCACATTGCCTCACAGCATCTCTGTAATCATTGTGAGCCACTAGCCCCTTCTTCCAGAAACTGTAAACTTTTTTTCTCCCTGAGTTGCAGTCATATGGCTCTGTGGAGCTGCACTGTAACTTACAGCCACATTTTCACTAATCTCAATTTCTTTCTCTTTGGTCTTGCCTATGAAATAAAGCAAAGCTGAAAAACGCAAATGCTGCCACCTACTAAGCTACTATTATTTTTGGTAACTGGGAGCACTCTTCTCAGTGGCTGTAGAAAGTGGGCTTCTCACCTGAGGGACACTGAGTGCTGATAATATTGAAGTATCATTTATTCCTGGGCTTAAATTTCGGGTATATTTCATGCCAGTTCTTCTCACAGATTTTTGAACCTACATTATAAACCTTGAGAGCTCAGCTCCCTGGGTCAAAGAACTTTGCTTTCATGTTTGTAGGTGGCTGTGCTCCCTGTGCTACCATGTCCCCTCTCCTGGTCATAGATCAAAGCCCATGTCTCACACCTCCTGCCTCTATCCCCACCACCATCCCCAGTGCTCCCCACTTCACACGCTGCCCAGGGCAAACCATGCTCCCCTATCATTTTTCTCCATTCCACGCTATCCTCCCCAGGCCAAAATCTTGCCTGGACCACCCACAGCCTGGGCTCCGGCTCTTCAAATTTGTGAAGTATACTGTTTGTCTTGAGAGTGTAATCTATTTTTTCTTTTAAGTATTCCAATATAAAAGGCATCAGTCCACACCTTTTCATGTTGTCTATAATGTATTTAAATATGCTCAGAATATTATTATGTCACTATTTTATCATCACAAATGCTTTCTTACATTTACACTAAAGGTTGTTAGAAAATCTGAAATCAAAGATCACCTTGTGTCTCACCCTGCAGATACACAAGGAAAAGGAAGAATGGATCCAAACCCCTTTTCTTCTTTTTTCATGACCAAACATGGTATCAGATCCGGCTCCTGCGGAGTGCTGGCCGGTGCTGAGGCTAACCCAAGAGCTATGTGGATTCCATGGACTTCTGTCAGCAGGGATACAGCAAGGTCCATACTCTTCAGAGCCTCAAAATAAACTCTTCTGCCTCAGTCACAGAGTACTGAGAAACTGTTGATGCGGGTGTATACATACCTGTATTACACTTGAACAAAATAGTAGCTGCATGCTTTCAGCTGAACCTTTTCTGTGGGAAATTGGTTTATTTGATCAAAATCAAGTTTTCATTGTCTGCCACCATTTTTCTCCATTTTTCAACAGTTTCAATCAGTTCTGACAGTCCTTTTACCCTTTTCGTTTTGACATCTTCCTTTTTGCTGGCTGTTTTGATGAGGAAGGTATAGTTACTGTCTACCACCTTCCTCTCCTAGGTTCTCAGATCCTGGTCTAGTTCCCAGGAGTGCATATCGGAACAGTCCAAGTGATTCTTTCCGTCACTGTATATCTGGAACCACTTCAACTTTGAGAGCAGAAGCATTTCTTTGGCAGCATGCCTTTGCTGCCTCTGATCACCTCCAAAAACCATTGGAAGACAGAAAAGAACATGCACAGCATCAGGAAACCTCTATTTTTTATGTGCTACACATCAAGTACCATCACCAAACTTAGCAAGTAGATATGATTACAACACAGGAAAGTACTGTAAGTTTTTAATGGCACTTTCAGAGTAGCAGATTATTTCTGGATGTGAAAATATTGATACATGACACTAGTAAAGTGTTTGGGTTTTTTTGGTTTTTTTTTTTTTAATTCTGACTTCCATGTCATCATAGTGAGCTACTGACTATGTGGGCTTAAACAAATGTTCAGTGAAAAGAAGTCAAAATGGATGTGTTTATAATGATTTGTATTGTATTCTCCTTTCTCTGTCCAGTTGTACATCAGAGCTGTTGCCTCCATTTTGTCTGAAATTTCCCCTATTTTGGATGAGTGGGTATTTAATATGTATGTCCTGTCTGACTGAAAGATTGTATCACTAAACCAAATGACTCCAGTTTCTCTTTTTCCAACTTCACAGGAGAAAATGTTTCTATATCAAATCCTCATCCATAGTTTCCCCTCTGATCAACATTTGTGATGACTCTTTTGTCTCTTGACTGAAGCCATTATACACTAAAAAGCATTTTCTGAATCCTACATGTCCTGTCAATTTTCTGTTTTTCCTTAATGTATTTTGGATAACAGAACTTGCTTCCCTGTCAGTTTATGAATTTTAAATCAATTTAAGGTTTTTTTTAAATACCTGTCTTGGAAGAATTATTACAACTAATTACTGACATTGAATTTGAGGTTTATGAATTTACATAATGTTATTAATAAGAAAACAAAACAAAACAAAACAAACCTGATTAGTATGTACAGTTTTCTTATTTTGTGTATTCTTGATTCTCTGTGAATTGTCTCCAAGACCTTTTGGATTTGTAGCATCCACACCTTTTCTGTTTTTCTGGGGCATGAGAAGACCAGAAATAATATTGCTTCAAATCTAAAGCTGAAATCCTCTCTCATGTGCAGTAAGAACTGATTGACTGTCTAATGCCTGTGCTTCTGTGTTTTACTTTACTAGTACAGGAAGTTCAAAACTCAGTCTACAGAGCTCAGGTGTTCAAGTCCCTGCACTATCACACAAAGCTGCATTGGTCATGGATGGTGCTTGACTAATGTGAATCTGCTGTTCTCTTGATGAAAATTCACATGTCCTCCTAGTGCTGCCTTTTGCCTTCGGACTGGTTCAACAGTTTACAGAGATTCAGCCCTTTTCCCCACCAAGAGCAAAAGGGTCTGTTTGGGCCTTCCCCAGATTGTTAATACCTTTGCTCCAGTATACACGCTCCTTATGCATATGCAGTAAATTAATTTTTTGTTTTTAAAACAGATACTTAAATTGCTCTTGGGATAAAATACTGAGAGTATCTTCTAAGAGAGCAGTTAGCCTTACTACATTAATTCTCTGTGGTATACCTTTTCTCAGAGAGTACTGAGAGTTGAAGAAAGCCATAACTAGCTCCACTATTTCTACTTTTTTTTTTTTTTTTTTTTTTTGTTTAATGTTTTGAAGGATACACTATTACTTTTTAACGATCCTCAAAGGGCTGGTTCTTATGTCGGTTTCCTATGAAAGCTGTTTAAACAAAATACCAGATAACTTATATCTGCACTTGATACAAATGTTTTATATTTCAGTTTTTCTTATAACAGCAGTTATAGTATGGTGATTGCTCTGCATTTTATTGCATGAAGTATCTCATTATTTACATAGTAATAAAATGAGTAAATTAGTATCTACATTTAGCTTTCTAAGAATATTATAATTTCAAATGAACATACAAAATAAGCTTAATCAAAGTAAATTCTGATAAAGGCAGGGATAAGCAGTACTATTAGACATAAATTAAATTTTGCTTTTAGCAGAAACTTGACCTTAGAAACAAGCAGAACACTTCCCAGTAATATATTTTCTTTAAAGATACTCGGCCTCTACAATTCACAAAGAATCCATTTCAGTAAAAGTGTTTCTAAAACTTTGTGTGTCTGGGGGAAGAGGAGGCAGTTGCAAGAAGCTGTGGATTCATCTCCTGTGGCCCTGATAAACCAAATGCTGATACATCAGTTCCCTTCCTTCTAAGAGACAAGTATCTTTGCATTCCCTTAAGAGGGAGATACTTATTTTTCAGAACGCACCTCTGTTACTTGTTTGCCTTCTAATCATGCCGTTTTAGGAGATTGCCATAGCTGACCTGCAGTCAGCAGTGGAAGCCTCTACTGAACACTTCATACAGTAAAAAAAAAAAAAAAATAAATCACAAGGAGCAGTCTTTAACTGTAGCATTGAGATAGAATATATTAAAAATACTATACATATCAGCATAGTGAAGTTGAAGTGGTATGGTTCTGTAATTGACACACACACACACACCCCCTGGAGATAGTCCCTTTGAAGATTTCTATACTTGTTGCTGAGCAAGAAGCAGCAGATTCCTTAGGACTTTTGTCAGTGAGCATGTGAAAAACAGTAAGGGTGCAAGTTGCTGTCTACAAGCAACAGAAGTAATTTGCATTGCAACAAACCTCTAGAAGTCACTTTGCCCAACCCACTGCTCAACTACAATAATTATGTAAGAGTTTCATTTATAGAGTAATTAAAATATATGAATGTATCAGTAATGTAGCAGAAAACTAGTAAGAGCATCACATGTTGACTGGAACTCTAAATAGCCTGCACTGCAGAATGATAGGTTTATTTTCTGCAAGCATAAAACCCACTCATTTCAAATGATCATACCATATTTCTGGCATATTCTATCAAATTCAGTAGAAACTGGTTAATTACTATTGATAAGTTTACTTCAGTAAGAGACTGCTTCTGTTGACTACAATTTTCTGAGTGCCATGAAGCTGAGTAATTTCCTTGTATTTCACAGCTGATTCCTCAAGTACAATATCTTCATTCTCCCCTTTATACAATTTTAAAAATTTGTTTGGTGAAAATACATTTTATTTAACCCTAATAAAAACTCTTTTAAATTTCTCTTAAGAATAGCAATATTCAAGTGATAAACTGTCTATTCCTTTCTTCTATTTGCTTAGAGACTTTCTGAGTTTGTTGAAGGAACTCCTTTGTCTTTGCTTATCACCTGCTGTTGCAGATTGCTACCTAAGCACCCAGCATGGGCAGAAAAGCTTCTACCTCATTTGCTCAGCATCCTTTTCCACCTCCCTGGATATGTCTCCAGAGCAAAACATTGCAACAGAAAATGGGAGTTCAAGCCTTAAGGACTACAGCTAGCATAGCCCTGCTATGAGCACAGGCCAGATCCAGCAATATGCCAAGTCACTTCTGAACCTACTCAAATGATATTGACATAAGGAAGCTGTTAATGATAAGGACAGATTGACTACCAGAACATCCAAGCAACTGCTTAAACTGTTTATGGTTTAAGGGTGGGTCATTACATTAGCTTTGGAGATTAGAGTCTAGGTACTTAAGGATTGCAGTGGAAAACAGATGCTTCAAAAACAAATGTTTTAAGTTACCATGTTGTATTTCACTGGATTTTGGATTGCATTCAGTCAGCTGAAGCCATCTGATTTATAGTTCAAAACTTTTGTTATTCTTATAATATTCAGTGTAACTGAAGACCATTCATCTAAGTTTTCCCCCATATACCACCTTTTGCTAGCCAGAGTGTCATGATTCTGAAGGAGTTAAAATGCATCTTAATTACTGAGGAAGAATTTTTCTGATCATTAATCATAGCATCCATAAATTTCTGTCAAATGATAAAATTCAGTGTACAGGGTAGGAGGGATTAATGTTTGTTATCCATGTGTTAAACTATAGTAAATGAGCAGTAGAGACTGTCAGATTTAAATTCAGATGGCTAAATCTTCATGAAGTGTTTGAAATGGGTTGTAAATCAGGCTGACCCATCTCTGAGTACATTAGTGTTTACTTTAAAGGCTTAACTTGTCAGTCTTGAGCAAGATAGTTGGATAGTATCCCGAAATGCAGGAAAAACAAGTTAAAATGATAGACTGACTGAAGCTGGCCATAAAAAAAAGAAACAGGAAATTCGTTTGCTCTCAGAGCAAAAAATGTATGAGAGGCAGAAAGCAAAATCCATAAAAATGAAGACAAGAAAAAAAGATCTGCACATTCCTGAGAAGGTAACAATGTGCATATGACCCCTGCAATTATGGCATTTAAAACATCTGTTGATGTCAAGCAGGAACACAATGAGTATGACAAGGACAAGAATCTTAAAAATGTTTTTTTGCAAGGAGTATTTATTTAGCCTGAGAAGAAAAGAGCCTAAAGGTACAACTAACTTTCATTATTTCCTGTAAGAGATGGGGTAGTATGTCACAGGTTTGTTTGTTGTTTTTTTTTTTTTTAAAAAAAGCATGACTTTGGAAAGCAAGTTTTGAAAATATGGAAAAAGACTTCATAATTCCCTGCCTGGATCTGATGGTGTTATGCAGTGAAATGCCTTCATAATTTCCAAGGGAAATTACAACATTGCCCATGAAATGTAAATTCCTAGTAGTGCCTATAAACTTAATTAACCAACTGGACAAGAGTATCTAGGAAGCTGTGGTGATTGCCAATAAACACAGAAATAAATTACATTATTTAGCATATGTTATAAGCTTATGTGAATGATATGGTGTACAAAAGATGCATGTGTAGTATCCCTATGAAGCATGAGTAAAAGGGAGAATTTTAAAGGGGATCCTTCCTCAAGTCAGCTTAAGAGCAGACTGTGCTGTTACTGACTGATTAACAGTTACTGACTGATTAACACATCATAACACTGACAATAGGGTGCCAGTGAACAATATATATTTATTAGCACTTATACTCCCTTTGCATTATATCTATTTTATGTTTATCTTTGAGTTCCTTTTAAAAGTTAGGGACTTTCTTCATTCCACCTACCTTCCTTTTTGTGAACCAGCTCTTATGATTCCTTGCGGAATAAGTGGTGACTTGTTTAATATCATCGAGAGCAAGTTGAATTGTCAAAACTGATTAGGTAAAACTTTGCCTCTCAAATGAGAGCTAAACACAAGCTAGGTAAATTCAATGTCAGTTTTAGGGTTACTGTTAATGTTGTGGGGTTTCTGAGCAGGAAATTCTGTGGTCAACTGTAGTGATCCTCCAGCCAGTGCCATCAGAGAGAAGTTAACCGAACCACATTGAATGCAAGAGATACAGTAGTGTTTCTATACATTATGTATGACATTATTGAAGATATAGCTACAGAATATATTACTTTGGCATGTAGACACTTAACATGGTCAATCTTCTGAATAATGATGACACTATGAGGATAATTATTTCAGTTTCCTAAATTGCATGACTTATTTAAGGGGAAAAAAAATAATCTAAAAGTGTTGTTATAAACAGTGCTGCGATCTTTTGATTCTAGTTAAGAAGTAGTATCCAAAGCAGGTAACTTTAACATGTAGGTCGTAACAATTGCATTGCGATTTTATTAAGGTTGTATTGAACAGAAGGGTAAGAGTGTGCTTGGGAAGACTGGCAGTGTGGGTAGAGCTATGTATCTTCTTAAAAGCAATACAACAAGCTTACTCATTGTAATACACCCAGATGTCTGTTAGAAATGGAGATGTACCTAGTATTCAAAAAGTGAGAGGAGAGATACAGCTTGGAGCTGTACATTTGGGTTTTGTTGTCTGTTTTCTTTTGAGATGGTTTTTAGCTGTTAATGAGGTGAAAAGTTGCTTCTGGGTCTCACAGGTATTGGTATTATCACAAGGCAATAATGCAGGACCTTCGATTTTTTACACTATGCCTATAAACAGTTCAAATGGAATCTGTGTAGCGTACAAAAGAAGTACCTGATATTTTCCAGGATCATGCATTTTTAAAAACGTAATTCATGGTGTTAATAGAACTTTACGCTACGTGGATGCATGCCCTCTCTGAAAGTTAACTTTACTAATTTCTTGAGGGTCTACTACAGTACAGTTGAAAAAGTTTTACGCTTCTGTGATGCAGTGAAAATCCTATCATAGTACAGAAAGATGTGCATGTTTAAATGTCAATAGCCAATGTGAAATTAAGAGCTCCAATAGTTTTCCCCTTTGACTATTTGTACGACTAGTCAAAATGCAGATTACTCTGTAAACATCCTGTTAAAAGTCCCTTCACAACAGAAGGCACAATGCCTCTCATTCTTGACATAATAATGCTCTGATATGATCCTTCATCCATCACTTGTTAGCCTTGAACTGCTTGTATTGTGTTGAGAGCTGTTTTCTTAACTTTATAGAATAAGCTACCTAGCCCAGGTTTACTTTGTCCCCATCTTATTTTTTTTATCCCTTTGTGCGTTCATCATTAAATGTCTCAGGTGCATCTGAAGGTACCTATGGAGTGCAATTCCACACTGATACTTAAAATGGCTTAATTCCTTTCCAGAACACTTTTATATTTTGTGGTTTAGGGAAGATACTCATTGTACAATACTAGAAGACTCTGTATCTTGGAGGAAGAAAAATGTTCACTCTATGTGCAAGAAGCTCCAATGCAAGAAAATGGAAAAAATTATGAGATTGTTTTCTTCTTAGTAGCTTCTACTGTAATTTCTTTTTCTATATGCAGAAGTTTACCTATTTCCTTCTGTGTCTTATTTTCTCTAGGGAGTGACTTACATGTTGAGTCAGAAATAAAGTAAATGTAAACACCTTCTGGTATGCCAGGAAAAAAACATAACCAGATCTGACTCAGGCCCCAGGTTTCGTTGTTGATCAGTCTCCGTGATTTGGCACTTACATTATTTAAACCAGAGAGAATTTGCAGGCTCTTGCAATATCTGCAATGGACAGAAAAGGAAGCACCCGGGTTCCCTGAATGTTGCCCAGGTGAGCTAGCTGCATTGAGGCGGAGGATTAACCTGAGTCACTGTCCTGTGCTCCACAGAGACTGCTGAGGAAAGGTGATTTTCAGTTTGGATCATTCAGGAGTGTTTGGCATCAAGCTTCTGCAGCTAGGGAGGGACTTCTTCATGGGTTTGTAGGTATAGACTTTGGAAGCTGACTGCACTATTTTAGGTACACATTTTGTGTGTAAATTCAGCTAGTATGAAGCTCTCATGTCATTCACTCGAACTGAGACCCAATTTCAAATTGCTTGTCTATCTGCTCTGAAGCAGAGATGTGTTGAAGGCGCTCTGATTACCCAGGAAGATGTCCTAACCACTGGGATATCACGTTTTAAGAAAGTTCTCTGTTTCCTCTTGAAGCTGTCCCACTTAGTGTGGATTATTAACTATTGACTGGAGTAGAGACTTGACCCGAACTCCCTTACATTCCACAAATATTCCCCGACTGGCAGATTATAAAATCAGTTTATTGCTTCTCTGTCTCCATAGCCCAATGAATAAATACACAGAGTGGTTGGATGGCACTGGAGTTACATAATATTCCACATGCTAAGCATCTAGAAAGACCTTTCTGTGTTATTTATATCGTGTAGACTGGTATTCACACCCACTATATGCTACTACTCTTCCTGCTAGCTGAGCTCAGGGGCAGCGTAAAGATCTGCAATGAGTAAGAAAGTCTGTAGCAGAGAGCAAGGCACTCTTCAGAACCACTGTCTCTCCCTGGCTGGTTCTACCTTCAGTAACAAGCAGAGTGAACCAGCCTGGCTCTGAGTTCGCAAATTTCTGTTTGTCCCTGCTCTAATTCATATGAAAGTGCAGGGATGCTGGGCACTAAAACCCAATAACTATCTGAGGTTGTTGGTGCTTCTGCTTTTGAAATCTGCATTTATTTATTTATTTATTTTTTTAATTGCTGTTAGCATTACTTCATGTAGATAATTTCTGGAACATTCTGGGCTGGCTCCTTACCTTCTCTTGTTCTTGGGAGCAGAACAAGACAATTGCACTTAGTTTACATGTGGAAGAAAAAAGATTTGTCCCAATGTGATTACATGATTATTTTTCTCATATTATTAATATACATTGCTTTGATGAGATACATGTCTGATGCATAATTATGACCTCCTCAACAACCTAACTGTGAATTACCAATTCTCAGGAAAAGGCATCAATTGATACAACAGATGGGAAAGGTGTGAGATCCATCAGCCTATGAAATATTGCTGATTTAGGACACTTTTCAAAGATGCTGGTACACCAGGCAGCAGATGAAGGCGGCAAGTGGAATCTACTCCTGAATGTGTCAGTTGTGCTCCAGCTTTTTATAGGAGAGCCTTCTACTTTGGCAGGACATCAGTATGTGATATACCAAAGCATGTGGTGTGTTGTAAAATATCTGCAGGTAGGGAGCAGAAATTGCCTTTTCTTTGTTCGGGGACTGAAATATTTATGGTTGGACACAATGCTTTTAAAGGTCTTTTGCAACCTAAAGGATTCTGAGTAGACATTGTTCATCGTTTTTAACTCCTTCCTTTTCCCCACAAAGCACAGAAAACCACACTTACCTGGAAGGCCAGATTGTGCACTCCTGAGTGATCACGGGTGGTCTCTGTCAGCTCCATGCGCCTAGCACGGGCAGAAGAGTTTTGGGTGAATGTTGAAAGCTACTTGCATCACAGGGCAACAGCACTCAGCACCTAGTTAATCCATCCACGGAATCTGTGAGTATTACTTGAAGTCTGCTTAGCTGGGGGCGCTCTCAGGTTGTTCTTGCTCAGTTATGGCTCCACCCTCTCACTCCCCTGGCACAGCCCCTTTTGGCCAGCATGCGAAACTACATTCAAGGTTTCTTGAGACAAGAAGGGAGGATTCCTGCTGCCCCCAAGAGGCAGACAGACTCTGGGTGATCCCAAGGGCAAATGTGTGTATTTACATGACTTCTGGCTTTCTTCACTTGCTTGGGGGAAAAAATCTTCCCCACCCAGATCTTTGAGAGGCCAACACAATTTTTTGGTTTTTTTTTCACAGCTGTTCTCAAGTCACTCCTGCGATGTTATCATGGCTCTATTTTCACAGTGCTTAAGGACTTCATCTAGCAAGAGAAAAGAAGGGAAAGGAACAAACCCCAAACCTCCAACAAATATCAGATATGCATTTTCAGCTGGCATGCCAAATCTTAAGGCATGGGGTCATTACTTACCTGTCCTCAGATTACTGACCTTTAACTGAAGAGTTTTCTAACTGAGAGTTTTTAGACTTGCTATTTGTGTATGGTAAAATTATATTCTTAGAACTATCAGTTGGGTTTCCTACCCATGTTTTTAGTTGCTTATGGACTTTGTATGTACAGCTTGTTCTGTGTAAATTCACTGAAAATAGTAGCATTATTACAGACACTAACTGTCAGGCAGGATTTGAACAAATATAATTTTCATCTTTAAGCACAACAAAAAGGAGGGTGGTTCCGTTTCTTTGAAATACGGCAACATTTATTTATGTACTCATTAAGTGACTAAATTTGTAATTTTTCTACACAGGGATTGAAAATGTCATGAGTTTTGCCTCATCCTGTGAAAGAAAAAAAAAATATGTCCTGTTTTAGGAATAAAGATAGAATGGACTAGCATGACTGAATATATTCTTGGAAATAAAGAACAGTTACTTGAAAAATAGGATGATGTATCTTTCTGAGGAATCTTCCAACTATGTTTTAATTATAAATTATGCAGTTGCAATATATGTTCTCTGAATCCTGTAACTATTGCTTGAAAAGGAGGACTAGTTGTTTTTCTTTTCAGTAAGGAGCACATGACTTTTAATGATATATTCTGGTTTTCAGCGTTCAGAATCTTTTTTGATGCCCCAGGTTTTGAAATCAGCATGTTTATTGCTATTTGTATTTGCCCCTGGAGTAGAGCAATTTCTGTGACTAATTGCTTCTCTCTGCACAACAGCAAAAATAGCTGCAAATATCTTTAACAATCTTGATATAATTGCCTGCTAATTACTGCATACCTCAGCTGTTTCTCTCTTCCTTTCTTCCTTCTCTTCTTCTGCCAGTTTTGGATATGCTTCTACTATCGGAGAGAAGAGGATAAAGGAAACAAAGTGGGAAATAATTTTCAAATGCAGCTCCTGCAGTCCTAAAATCTGTAGGCTGCACTTGCGTGGTTGGAAGAAAGTTCTACCCTGGTAACTATGCCAAGACACCAGTATTTTCTGCTATTGTTCCTCTTCTGGCAACTCATTACATCATTTTAAAAACTGGTTTTCTCACTCAGAAATGTCAGAATAACATTGACTGATTATTTCAGTGCAAAGTTTCCTCTAACAAATTACATTTCATGTTAGTAAACTAGCAGGATACTGAAAGCAAGAATACCACACATCCAAGACAAATCCTGAACCCACTATAGAAAACATTAAATATGCCATTTCCCTGTGGACAAAGGACCAGGTATTTAAACAAAAGGTGGGAACTCACTGATATTTTTTGTCAAGTTCAGCCAGCAGTCTACTTAAGGTTTGATTTACAGCAAACTCCTTTCAGTTTCTGATTAATCTATATACTTACATGAAGTCATGGATGTTTAAGAAATGTTATGTGTCTGAAGGATATCATGTCCTGCCATTTCAATTGATAACAAGTGTGAACATTTGTCTTCCATGTAAGTGTTTCCTCCAGCTACAAAAAGGCATTAAAGACTTGCACTCTGAATTTTTACAACATTAGACTAACAGTGCTAGGCTCAAGAAAATACATGTTGCCAAAATTCTACTGACTAATAACAGAGAGAAAAAATGATCATAACTGAAGAGCTGCTTCCTAAGGATAACACTAAGAGACTGTATGTTCTATCTTAGTATTTCTACATGAACTCTGGATCCTTTCTGAGTTGTAGGAAGAACAATCAAAAAGACATTTTTTCACGGAGTTTCAAACAGAAATGAGATTTATATTTTTCCCAGTGTGAATAATACATGGAGGAAGTTAATTTTAATTTGAAGACATATCTTTTCCTGTGTGCTTCTCACTTCCTTTTTTAATGATAGAAGTTTATTAATTTATTGAAAGAATGTTGCTGTTTTGATTAGCAAGCCTGAGAAACTAGGAAAGTATTTTATTGTATTAAAACAGCAATCCAGAAAAGGACCTCAATAGCACACTAAGTGTGCAAAACTACTTTTTTGATATGGACTAAGGAAAAATTCATTTCAATATATTTTGTATCGTTAGAACTGTGCAAGTAGCTGGCATAATGAATTGAATGGCATAATGTTATTTTATCACACATACGACTGAAACCTAGAAAATGAATAAACTTGAGAAATTAAAATTTTTTTAAAGTTTTGTATATAATAATTATTTTCTTGGATCCATTCCTCAGAGGTATTCTAAGTCATTCCACAGGAATTTATTAAGGAAGCAGAATGCTTGAACATCACCCTCAGAGGATTTTCCTTGAATTCTAAGATAAGGGTAATCAGAGGTCTTGGTAGCAGGAGAGGCTTTCAGCTGAGCTTTATGCTTTGTGATACAGAAAAATGTTCCTATCTGTAGCATAAAGTAATATGGGTTGTTATAAATGAGTATCTCACAATCAGTGGTAGTTTTGTGCTGTCAGTGGAGATCAGTATTTCCCATAGAATATAGAGAGGTCTGAGTAGTAAAAAAAAGAATACCATGGCAAATAAATAAAACTTTTGGTTAGCAAAAAAAAGCCTTCCCACACCAGTGCTAAGTAACTTTGCCATGAAATCATAGTCACAGGGAATAGCATTCAGAGCATTTTTGTGCTTCAAGTAACAACACAGCAGTGCTGAATCTGTTCTGAAATTGCCATGCAGGCTGGCTAGGCCAGAGGGGATTTTCGGGTACTATAAAAATATTAATCAACAGTATTTCTTACTATATACACAGAAGGCAGATACATAGCAATATGATTCTTAATAATTTGATAGGTACAGGAGTATAAAGAAACGAGAGGTATTTAAAAAGAGTAAGGTCATTCTATTTTTTTTAATTACTGAACCATGCAAAGCAACTTCATAGTTAGAACTTGTACAGTTGTTCAAAGATTTTTTTTATATATACTTAATTGACCATATTCTGTATTTATAGTTTTGCTAATTTTACTCAGCTGTGGTTTATAGAATAATTGGGTAAAAAATTTCAAAATCTTTGAGATTATAAAATCTTGAACAATCTCTTATGTGTCCTGGGTAAACTGAGACTTCAAACAAAAAGTGGGCAGAATAACTTCAATCCTGACTAAGTGACAAAATGCAGGTAGATTTCCTAGAGATGGTGTTACCCTGGCAATAACTGACCATGTTTTTCTATGCGAATTTTTGCCAGAGCTGCTGAGATGTCCATGGTGAAAGCCAGAAAAAAAAAAAACAACCCCCCCCCAAAAAAAACCCCCAAAAGAATTGTTGTGGGAAGAGTCAGAGTGAAACTGTAAATGCACTAATATTTTTATGATTAGTCCATGTTACTACTTAGATATTGTTCCTGAAAGGAAAGGTAAGTGAAAGAAAAATGGTTATAATTCCAAATGGTTGGCAAGTAGCAGATTAGTTGCTTTGCTTTTTGCAATATATCCTAACATTTATTTAACCAGCCATGCTTATCCCCCTACTGACATTCTTTGTTAATATCTATAATTTCCAAATGGCAGGTGTTTGCACTATGGGTTATTCAATTTTTAGAAACATTTTCATTAGGTTACCAATATAAAAGATAAACTCTACAACTCCATAGTATCATGAGAATAAAGGATGAAAGGAAGAAATTACTGTCTTCAGGGAAAGAAACACAATTTTAAATGTCTAAAATTGTCTCTCATCACACACTTTTCTTGAAAAATCTGATTTTGGGACTCATTTTTACCAAAGGGGAACATTAAAAAAAAAATATTCATATTCCTGCATTCTTGGGGGAAAAGCAGAAAGTGGAAAGTTCTTACCAGGATAAAAACAGTTTTGAAAAACACAGAACAGTGTCAAGTTTTATGAAATGTGGACACAAACCCCATAATCTCAATTAAAAAAAAAAATCTTTTCTATCTGTACAAAGTTATAGTAAATGCTATTAAAGAAATGTTATATGTTTTTGCTGCCATTTTTGTACACATACATATTTTGTATACCTCATAAAGCATTGATATTGATTGAACTGTTCTGTTCCTTTATCTGAAGTCTTTTGTTAAGAAAGAAAATAAATTATTAAACTTTTTTGAAAATTAAGTAAGCTTATGGGAGTGGTGGTGATGGAGGATAAAGGCTGGACAGTCCAGAGCATCTAACATTTGAGACATGACATCTAGCCTGTCTGGAATACTTTGAATTCTTTCATAAAGTGTGCTGGAGATCTTGTTTGCTACATAGATAAATGGTGGGGGAAAACCATCAACATGTTCAGAATAATTTGAACTTTTTGTCGGGTGGGCTTCATGAAAATACACTACTCCCACAGTTACGAAGTGGCTGAGTGGCCAGGTGCTGCCGCCTTCTCTCCCAGGTTCTGCTGTGAGTTCAGTATTTGGTCCACACTAGTCACAGACTCTTGCCCAGTAACTCTCCAGCTCCTACTCTGGCTCTCAAGCTCTTCTTCTGAGATACTTCTGAAATCTGTGTGA